GATGGGGATGACGAGGTGCAGCAGTAGGTGCCGTGCCCATCTGCACGGCTGGTGCGGTGATCTACGTGCTATGTGTTGGGTGCACGTAGAAGAGATTTTCTCCTTGTATTCTATCTCTCTAGGTTCTGGGTGGACCTTGTGTGTGGGTGCCCAGGCGTGAGCTGGGCAGGGGAGTGTCGAAGAGAAAGGCCCCGCTATCGCTTGGACGCAGCCAATCTCACCGTCGACGGGAATTTCTCGACGGATTGGTAGAAGAAGTGGGCTTATGCAGTTCGACGGAAGTTTCGCTCGAGCAGGCTCTGCTCGACTTAATCTGGTCGACGAGCTCTGCGCGACGAGCTCAGGTCGACGATATCTGCGCGACGAGCTCACGTCGAAGAACGCTGGTCAACGATCCTGGTCGAAGAACTGTGGTCGAAAATCTCGGGTCGAGGAGCTCTGCTCAGTGAACGTCGTTCGACCGAGCGATGTCGAACTAATCGACCGAAGTTGCAGAGTTGTGCGAAACTTTGCGGAGGCATGCGAACTTTCGCCCATGATGTTTTGGCGAAGTTCTACATGCGGAACGACATCACGTGGTCGACGGTGTGCACCTGGCGAAGCCGACGACACGTCTGCTACCTGGCAATTGCGCACTGTGCTTGGTGGTGAAACCGTCAACCTGCACCTACTTGGTAGGTGCGCACATCTGCGCAGATAGACAGCCTGCGACCGCATATAGTTACCTGCGATTGCATATAGTCACCTGCGACTACAGTGCTGGCAGACCGCGCGCAGAGCAACGCTGGCAGAGTACTCTGCTGCAGCGTTGGCAAACCACCCTTCTGCTGCGCTGGCAGATTTCGCCCTTGCTAGGTGTTGCATGCCATTTTAGTCCACTTGTTCTGCATGCGGCAATTTTACTATCAACTTTTCAATGCAGATTGTTCTTTCAACTTCCTTAGTGGAATTCTTGCCAAACTTCTTCGTGAACACAAATAAGAACGCTACGTGCACTCGCACGTGTCAGAGGTCCACTGGTGATCCCCGATTGATCCTAGGGAAGGGTTACAGGCACGTTGGCCTGGGGGGTTATGGGCGCACTGACCCGCTACTTAAACAAGCCCTTTTATCCCAATGGTCTAGTGGTTGGGATTCTGACATGGTATCAGAGCGAAGGTCTCGGGTTCGAATCCCGGTGTATGCACTTCGGGCATCCCAGTGCGGGGGGGTGTTAGAGGTCCACTGGTGATCCCCGATTGATCCTAGGGAAGGGTTACAGGCACGTTGGCCTGGGGGGTTATGGGCGCACTGACCCGCTACTTAAACAAACCCTTTTATCCCAATGGTCTAGTGGTTGGGATTCTGACAGCACGACCCCGTGCCCTACACCGTAGTCCACTCCCGTTGTGTCGTGACTCTCCGCAAGGTGATGCTGCGATCTGACCACCTTAGGGCGAGATGTCGACTACAGGTTGACCAAAGTTCAAATGGGTAAATTCAAATATAAATCATGAACTTCACAATAAATTCCAGAAGACACTCGCTCTTATTTTCAAATTATCAAGTCTTGAACAGCTATGACAGCTTTGTACCGCGCCCTCATGGACATTTGTTTTGTGGTGGCATGTAGGAGGCAGATTGGGAGCTCGTGTCAGACCTCAAGTCAAGCGTCGCTGACACGAAGTTGTCTGCTCGTAATGGCCCGGGGAAAAAGAGGTGACGATGACTGAAAGTGGAGCTCGGAACCCAACGAGGAGACCTGGCAGCTCTGACCTGAGGTGTGAGACGAGCCCCGAATCCGCCTTCCAACTAAGAGTGATCTCAGCAAATTTGGTATTCTTTAACCGTGACAAGGGCTAGGTCTGGTCGGTGCCTCTAAATTTTCAGGTCAGAATTCGAAACCTCTCATCAGGGCGTGTCCAGCGCGTACATTTTGGAAATATTAGTACCTTCACACGTTTCCCGGCTCAAAAAATCTCACTGTACCAAAAAACGAATATAAGGTGAGTCGAGTCCGAAGGATTGGGCCTTCCAGCGCGCGGACACAACCCTCTGCACACAAATTTCTACAGTTCGTGGAAAACGAGGTAACTGGTTGCCTCGTCTATCATCGCACAGAAATTCACGCACAAGCGAAAATTCCACGCTTGAACGAAAATTACTGTAGCGGGCAGGACGCAATGCTGTACCCTTGTTCGCGCGCACACTGATTCCAGTAACGTGTGTTAGACGATTCGTCGTACGCGCAGCGGGCGTGCCGTCTTGTGAACGGAAGCTGATCGTGTCCAACCTTTTTGTAAAATGCAGTGTTACAATAGGTAATGTGGTAACTGAATGGGTTTATGAACTGTAAATGTACGCGCTGGACACGCCCTCAGCCCTGGTTCTCATCTAAACCCTAGACAGCAGCAATGATGTAGAGAGTTTGCTGCTCCTGTCCCACTCCCATCCCAGACCGCAAGAACGAAATGCACGCTGGCAGCGCCACCCGCGTCAATCAAAATGAGTTTGCCCAGGAGAACGTGCAAATACGACGGTATTTGCGGAATGCCCGTCGCACGATTTACTGTGTACTACAAAATCTTGTTGCAAGAAAGCTGGCACTGGCCAGCTGGTCGGATTGTGTGTGTATGTGTGTGAGTGACCTTGATAGAAGGAAAACATGTTTCAGCCACCCAATATTGAATAGAAAGTCTTCAACCTAGAGCATTCCACAATGAGGATGTCTTCTGGTTCTGGAATGGGATTGTGTTTCCAGACTGCACATCAACGTGCTAAATTCACATGCCCTTTCCACTTAGCATTTTGCTATTTTCGGACTCCGGGCACTGGGGTTATTAGCACCACAACGACAGATCCCAATATTTGGTTCAGATAGCCCATTGTTGTTCTTTTGTGTTGAACATTTGCGGTCAAGAACATGGGTGTTTTGTCGTGGGTCTGTGGGGCCGTTGCCTGTGACCGTCAACCGCTGCTTCTATCGGTTGCCTCTGGCCCTGGTAAAACACGGACGGTCAGCCTTCAGTGTACTGTAACGCTTCCCACAGAGCCACCTTCATCTGCTAGAGAAACCTTCTCCCTCTCCTTCCTCCCTCCCCACTTCACCCCACTTTCCCCGCATACCGTTCACCTAACCGCGATCGCACCTATGCTGCTACCCATTCCTATAACATCCACAACTTTGTGCTTTCCACACCTCCATCATCGTTCCCAAAAGACCTTAGTGGGGTGTACTATCCAGTATTGAACGCATATCGTCGGTGTAGTTGACCAGCACTGAGTAAACATGGTGAGGCTCTCTCTACAGTACCACAAGTTTAGCAGAATGTCAAGCAGGCGGCGCTTCCCGCCCCTACACGTACGCTGAAGTCGATGCCATCCACAATGAAACCAACGGCCAGCAGCACGAGAAATCAACGCAGCCTGGCATGTCCAACGGCTGCCACATACGGTTCAATTTGTTTCCTCTGGCTCAGACAGGGCTTCGCTTTCTACCGCTTTACAACGAATTCAACCGAAACCGAGCGCTCTTCTTCGTTTGCAACAACCTATCGCACAACCACCTCCACTCAGCCCAGCATCCCCCCTTCGTGCTTGCTCCCTCTTCCCCTCCCCACGTTCCAAGTTCCAAGCTTTTCGCATCACTCCTCCGTCCAACCAATCCCACGTTCAGCCTCCCTCATTATCCCAACGGATTTTCCCCACGGTAACTTCATCAATTTCTTCCTCCCCTGGTACCTTCACCACAGCATATTGCTTCCTACAACCCCTTCCATGAAAAGTTTAACAACTCCTGGATTCTAACAGAAATGATTAGCTCTGTCCAACGAACCGTCATGGCCGACGTTCACCACCACAGTGAGCATTATCGTGATAGAGACGCGCCGCCGCCAGTTGCGCCGCCGGCAGGCACGTTCCTCCTTAGAAACCCACCGCCAGATTTATGTAGCGCGAATGGAAATACCGCGATTAGCGCAAACCACATCGGGGGAGCGGGCTCTGTGGCGGTTCCAGCGGAGTTTGTCTGTCCGCTCTCCCTCCAAGTCATGGCGGATCCTGTCGCGACGTCATCGGGGTACGCGTTTGAGTGGGAAGCGATACAGGACTGGTTCGATAGCGGTGAGCGTGACTGTCCGGTAGATGCGCGGCCGCTCGATCACCTTCGAGTAACTTCGCTTCCCGCGCTACGAGATCGAATCGCCGATTGGTGTGACGCGTGGGGTATACAGCCCGGAGCGCGCAGCCCTGTCGTGGCCACCGATGGAGCCGACATCGGCGGTTACCCTAAAGCTATCATTCCGCACAACAGCAACGAGAGTACCACTGTTATTAATCATCACCACCACCATCAGCAGCAGCAGCAGCAGCAGCAGCAGGCGTACAACTCTCCGAGGCACACTTCTCCGAATCAGAAGCAGAATCGGGCCCCAAATCCGCTTCAGAACCCGCAACCGCAATCGCAGCCGCAGCCGAAGCCGCAGCCGCCGCTGCAGCCTCCAAACCGCCCTATTCTTCGATCACACTCGCAGGCTTCTGCCTTCTCCGCGGGCGGCCCTCTTCCGCTTCCGCTTTCCCTTCCCGGCCTTGGTCCCGCGCGGCAAGGATCGATTCGAACTGACGACCCCGCCCTTTCCTCTCGCCTAAACTTTCCGCTACAGAATGGCTCAGCTGCAGTAGCGGCATCGGCGCCGGGATCCTCGCTCTACGTTCCCAGCGATTCCTCGTCTTCCGGCTCGAACCGCGACGGCATCGGCGAGTGCGACTCGCCTACGTGGCTCATCGCGTCGCACCATCGGTCGCGATCCGTTGCGGATATCACGCGCTTCGCCTCTCCGCCAATTCTGCTCCTCTCCCCTCCTGAGCATCGCGGCGCCGGGAAAAGCAGAAACGGACGCGATCGCGATAGCCCCTCGGGCGATCCCGGTGCCGGCGTCACCAGCGATGGCGGCGCCGACGGCGGCGGAGGAAGAGGAGGAGCCGGAGGAGGTTGTGGTGGCGGGAGCGTGGGCGCGCGGGACATGCAGAAGCAGCGGCTACGAGTCGCGCTGGACCGAATTCTCGGGGACGACGACGAGAGCGAGGATGGCGGCGTGCGGGCGAGCTCCGTCGGAGCGGGAAACGCTGTTTCTGCGGCGGAGGCGCTTCGTGCGCATGGGCAGGGGCTCGGGCGCGTACAGAGGCAGGGATCTATCGGCAACGGCGCAGATAGCAAGGGCCGTAGCAGGCAGCAGCAGCAGCACGTATCGCAGCCGAATCACCAGCTAGGGAATATCGCAGCTCGTGGGAGCGCAGTGGGGTTGACTGGTGGTAGAGGCTTGGGCGGAGGCGGGGGAGGGACCGGCGGAAGTGGCGGCGGCGGCGGCGCCGGTGGCGGCGGCGGCGGCGCCGGTGGCGGCGGCCGGGGGGGCGTTATGCGCAGCACGAGCGCGTGCTTGGAGGATATGAGCAGGTATGACAGCGAAGGGGGGGTAGAGGGAAATGCGCAGGGGAGGAAAACAGGCGGCGCGACGGTGAGGCTGAGAAAGGGAGGCGGCCCGACGCTCAATAGCGAACGGCTGAGCTCCGCTGTAAGGGGGATGCAGAGCAGCGGGGATCAACGGCGGTGGATGCAGCAGCAGCTGCAGTCGCAGCAGGGCCAGAGTTCTGGCAGCGGGGGTTCTTGTAACGAGAGGAGGAACCCCAACGCGCGGCAGCAGCAACAGCAGCCGCAGCAGCAGCACAGCAGAAGCAGCAGCGTCAGCACCAGCGCGTCTAACAACGGTAACGGTGGTGGTCCCCCCTCGAGTGGTTCACTTCCGCGGTCCCAATCCGTTTGCCTTAATAACGGTGGGAACAGTAACTACAGTAAAAGCAATAACATCAGCAGTAACGGTATAAACGTGGGATGCAAAATTAGCAGCAGCAACAGCAACAGCAGCAGCATTGGCGCGCACCAGTCTCCCAGCAAGTGGCGACACCGAAGCAACAGTGTGAGTGGTGCAATAACGGGTACGCATTTGACGGCGGAAGAGGAGGAAGCGGAGAGTGCGGGAGCGGAAAGGGAGCTTTATGGTCCCGAGGAAGGGGACGATCATGCTGCAGTAACTACAGCGGCACGAGGGGGAGAAGGCGCCAGGGCAACAATAGGCTGGGAAGGTTTACCTGGTACAGTTACGTCTGGCGCGGGCGCATCTGGCGCAGCAGCAGCAGGGGCAGCAGGAGCAGTGCGAGTCCGCCCCGCTGCGAATGCTGCAGGGAGGGGAAGGGGGACAAGCGGGGGCGGTGGCGGACGGAAGGGCGGTGGCCTCCGCCGCGCCTCTTCTCTGCACTCCAGCGTGATGGGGGGCGCGGGAGGGGGAGGGGGAGGGGGAAGTGGAGGCGCAGGGGAGGCGGAGAAGCTACCTGGGCGCGCGCATTCACAGCCCCGGGGGGGAAAGTTTCAAGAGATGCTGGTCGGGCTGAGAGAGAGCGGGGAAGGGGGGAACGAGGAAGGCTTTATGGGAGGAGGATGGAGGGACCTTGGGGGGGACAGAGGAGCAGGAGCAAATACGAAGGGAGAGAGTTTTCACGGTATTGGGATGCAGCAGCATGTGGAGGACGGAGAGGAGGAAAGAGATGAGTTTTATGAGGACGAGGAGGAAGATCTACAGTGGCAGCCGCGGCAGCGACAGCAGCAGCAACAATGCCGCATTCCGAGGTCTAATTCAAGTGGTGCTGCGCTCACTCACCCGCTCTACTCCTCCTCCCTCTCCTCCTCCTCCTCCACCTGCTCACCTCTCAAGGGGAGAAAGAGCCCTTCTGTGGACATGTCACCCTCGCTCTCGCCTCCCCGCTCCTCATCTTCTTCCTCTCAAATTCCCCTTATGCAGCACCAACAGCAACAGCGACAGCAGCAGCAGCAGCAGCAGCAGCAGCAGCAGCAGCAGCAGCAGCAGCAGCAGCAGCAGCAGCAGCAGCAGCAGCAGCAGCAGCAGCAGCAGCAGCAGCAGCAGCAGCAACAGCAACAGCAACCTTCGCGGTTTCATCACATACATCGGTCAAAATCAGTGCAATCGGATTGGGGTGCTGTGGATGACGGAGGGCCGGCCGAGCCTCAGTCCCGGCCTCAATCGCAGGTTCGGCGGCCGAGGACGCCAACAGGTCCGGAAGGCAGGGCGGTTGACAAGCTGGGCCAGTCTCAAAACACTGTACTTCGGCCCGGGAAACCAGGCTTCGGGATCATTGCAGGCTCGGGAACGGCTGTGACCTCGGCAGTAACAGGAAGGGCGGGGCAAGGCGAAGGACAAGGGCCAAGGCAAGGAAAGGGACAGGGAGGGCTGCAGAGAACATTCTCTGTGCCTGTGCGTGCTGAATCAGAGGGTGCTGGCGCAGGGGGGAGAGGGGCAGGAGGGGCAGGAGCAGCAGGAGGCGTGGGGCTGATAGCACGGCCTGGGACCGCGTCTTCTGGCAGCACAACTAGTCTGAGGGGCGAAGGGGGCGCTGTGGGGAGTGTGGTGAGAGCAGGTGCAGGATTGATGAGGGAAGGGAGTGGTGGGGAGAAAGGGCGGGTAGTGGGTCAGGGTGGGAGAGGAGGAGGGGGAGGAGGAAGTGGAGGGAGGATGGTGAGGTTGGGGAGTGGGGACGAGGGAAGTGAGTGGTCTGATTCTTCTGGTCAGTGGAGGGTGGGAGGGGGGACGGGGGGAGGTGGAGGGGGGTCCGGACCTCTGCCGTTGGTCCCTGGGCGGAAGCAGCAGCAGCAGCAGCCGCAGCAGCAGCAGCAGCCGCAGCAGCCGCAGCAGCAGCAGCAGCAGCAGCCGCAGCAGCAGCGGGCACAGGGGCAGCAGCAGCTGCAGCAAGGCCTTAGCCCTAACAAGCAGCAGCAGCAGCAGCAGGCAGTGCAGCAGCAGGTGACGCAGCAGCAGGTGGAAGCAGCAGCAGAGCAAGGCTATGACTACGACCCTACAGACGTGTGGTCTCTGCTCGCTCACGTGTCCAAGGGACCCATCACGCACCGCCGCAGCGCCGCTGCCGACCTGCGCGCGTTGCTCAAGGGCAGCGCGCACACCAAGGCAGAGTTCCTCGCAACCGGTGCTGTGGACTTTCTGGTCGACGCTCTGCAGCAAGCTGACGACGGGAAGGTGCGCGAGCACGCGGTTACCGCGCTGTTCAACGTGGCGTTACACCCGGGGGCGACGCCGGTGCTGGTGGCGTGCGGGGGAATCGAGGCGGTCGTGGGGGTGCTGAGAAGGGGCGGGTCCATGGGCACGCGAGAGAACGCTGCAGCGACGCTCTTCAACCTGTCGATTGCCGATGGGGCGGCTGATAAGGTGCGTGCAGCAGGCGCAGTGCCTCTGCTGGTCGATCTCCTTCGCACGGGCAGCACAAGAGGGCGGAAGGATGCTGCACTGGTACTGTTTAACCTGTCAAGGGATGAGGACGGGGCCAAGGAGCTGGTGACAGCAGGAGCAGTGGAGGTTCTGGTAGATCTGTTGACGTTTCGAGAGGTGGGGCTGGTGGAAAAGGTGATGGCGGTGACAGCGAATGTGTGCCGGAGAGAGGAGGGGTGTAAGCGGCTGCTGACCGTGGGGCAACCGCGCTGCTGCGGTGGCGGCGGTGTGTGCGGCAATGGGAGCAGCGGCAGCGACAACCCGCAGTGCCATGGAGTGGATGCTATTTCAGCACTGGTTGAGCTTGTGGAGGAGGATGAGTCGCAGAGGACACGGGAGGATGCAGTGATGACTCTGCTCATGCTCATGCACACCAGCCAGGATCTCGACGCACAGAACCCCACAGGGCACTGCCACAGCAGCTGCCGGAACAGCAGCGAAAGCAGCGACAGCAGCAACAGCAACGGCAGCAGCAACAGCAGTAGTAACAGCAGCGGCGGTAACGGTGGGAGCTGCAGCTGCAGTGGTAGTATGAGTGCGAGTTGTGCCGCTAGGATGGTAGAAGAAGGGGTGATTGGGGCATTGCAGCAAGCAATGGACGGGCCAGCATTCTCTGCTCGTGCGTGTGTCAAGGCACGTGCTCTTCTTGACATCCTCACAGGCTCGCTTGGCAAACCACCGTGCCTTTCTCCTTCCTCCCCACTCAATCCCACTATGGTTATTGGAAGATAGGGATGTAGTGAGTAAATATTTTGAATTTCTCTAGTTTATTTTCCTAGAGACTACATTGTTTTTGCATCCTGATCTTTTCTCTGTTTGTGGTACATGTGCATTGAAAGGCTGACAATCTTGCAATGCTGGCATTGTGGTTGGTGGTGATATCCCCAACGGATAGGGCCAATTTGGCCTTATACAGTTCGGTATGTGTGCAATGAAATGAGTGACTGAGTAGTGCACTAGCGGGTCAAGAAATTTACATTTGTGCGGCTCGTGCGAAGTTGACGAGCCGCATTCTGGCGTCAATGCAATCCACTCGTACATCCCACCCCATGCCATTTTGTCTCCCGTCTTGTCACGTAGGTGCCACTCCCATCCCAAGAACGGTCTTACCTCATGGACAGTCACTGCGAAAAGGCTAACTCAAAGAATCTCGGAGGCCATACTGACAGGGATTTCCAGAATAGACCACTCATTCATGGTACCTACTTTCTAGATCAGAAGTAGACGCGGCTCATCATGCTCTCTTATCTCAAGTTTCGGAAGCTCGACAATCATATTCCAAACAACAGAGTCTATCCATACAAGTCCTAAGTCCTAGGCGGTGGAACCTTGAGATCGCTTATTACAGACCCAGGCTCCCACGTTGATAGGGCCCACAAAAACAGGAACTTGCGTAACAACTCTGATCACAAAAGTGATCTACTAGCAGCCCAAACCCCCCACATCCATGTAAAGCGTACTAATTACTCCAGGCGCTACGCCACGAGCACACCGTTGGCCTCGTTGATGGGAGGTAGCGTGTGGCCGTCGAACGCGGTGTAGAGGCAGTCGGCGGACATGACGCTGGACGTGCGGTAGTCCTTCACCTCGCCGTCCAGTTACCCTCGGCCCTCCACGCCGTCCGCCGCGAACGACCGCCGCAGCAGCACCGACAGCGACGTGTACTCCAACGCGCGTTTCCGCCGGCCCTCGCGGTACGTCTGCCCCATGATGCCGTGCATGGCGGGGGTGCGCTCCACGCTCGCGAAGTGCAGGTTGATGTGCGTCTGCGCGTCCGCCTCCGTCTGCAGCAGCGGATGCGCGGGCCGCAGCTTCACGTCCAGCTTGATCAGCCCGTCCACCTTGATCAGCCCGTCCACCTCCAGCGAGTATGCGTCCACGTCGAAGAATCCGCCGCCCTGCTTCTCGTACCCCGTGAACGCCAGCGTCAGCCCGCCGGCCATCACGTACTTGCTGCCCACGGAGAGTGATGTAGAGGACTCTCCTCTACTTTGCAGGAACTGGGACTTGCACTAAACGATAGAGCACACTGCTGGCTTTCCAACGAGCCGTCAAACACGCGATTCGCCGAAGTAACGAGAGAGTTATAGGCGTTTATGTGCTTGCTAGTGCTCTTAGAACAAAGGATAGGAGCTTTCTGGATTTTGTAGTCGAGTGTATCACATACAAAGTGATTCAGGTTTTTAGTATGAAGCATGCAATACAAAGCAACTAGTTTTATAGCATGCAATCAACATCGAACCGCGTTCGTAACATCGCATCGCTACACTTCGCGAATGTTCTCGTAACATTTCGAAGTGGTGAAATTTGACACTCGAATTTCACTCATCCGAATGTTCCTTCAAGTCTCGAACTTTCTGGTGCTGCCATGTGGCACCGAATTGGTTGAATCTTCCGAAGTCAATCTTCAGCCCCACGCTAACCTGCAGCTCACTCGAAGGTGAGAACCAAAAGCAGCACCGTTCGGTGGTTGGGGGCAAAACCTAGCCCCACGCAACCTCCAACAGAGAGCAGCGGCAGCGCCTTGCCGTCCTTCAGAATCGACGCGCCGATCGTGCGGTCGTCATAGTACCCGCGCATGCGCATGTTCACGTGGATTCGTGCGTCCGTGACGAGGCAGAAGCTCTGGTCTGGCAACCCATTGAAGTGGAATTGCGTACCCTCTGCGCCCGCGAAGTGCGGGTCATTGAGCGACGACGGGCACGGTCGCGCCACGCGGGTCACATTCCACAGGATGCCGTTGCGAACGCAGGTGGGAGGCGCCGCTAGCGGCGGGTAGATGTAGCACACGCCGCAGTTTGCGCAATCCGATCGTTTGTTTGGAGACACAAGGGTAGTAGTAACGAGAGGAGTAAATAACACGGCCTTAATTTATCCTAGACAATTCTTGCTAGATAGAGATCCAATCGTAAGAATGTGCGTTCTTATTATTCAATTAGGTCGGTTCACGTGCCATAAATTTTCGAACTGGTTGAGAGTGGTCGTGAACTAACTTACGGTTGGTAAAATTGCCAGTAACTGCACGTGCGACGGCTGATGCACTTGTTGCAGCACGCGGGCAGGCTCATGCCGTCGTAGCAGGAGAGGTGGCTCGTGCTGATGGCGTTGTTGTACTCTGGCGGGCATGTCGCATTCGGCAGAAACATGGGGAGCGAGTAGCGCGAGTACACGCCGGCGTTGCCCGAGTTGCACGCAGTGGAGCACGTGATGTTTTGCGCTGGTACGCACGGATCGCCCGTGGGGCTGTTGCTGCCCGACGTGCCAGTCGTGTTGGTGCTCGTCCCTCCTTTCTGCGCAGCGGCTCGAGATGCAAGCGCCAACACCAGGACGATCGCAAGCAGCACTCTGAATCTCGCCATGGCTCGTAACACGATCCAAACACCAAGGTGGAGAAGAAGGATTGGAAAATCCTATGGGAGGGAGTGCAGTCAAATTCTGAAGAACGAGCTTTTTCTAAGAGAAAGACGGCTGGCTGGTAGTCACTGAAAAGACAAGTTGCGAGTCAGATGAGCAGTCAAAACTTTTGATGTTCCAGCAGGAAGAGACCAGGTATGCTGCTTACACCCCTGCAAGAATCTTCAACTAGCGCACGAGTGACGAGATGTGGATTGGAATGACAAGATGAGTAGGGAATGTGCCGTACGCGTTTATGTATGGAATTCTTGTTCTAGCAACATGCTTTGGTCAGAAGCGGCGCGTGTTAGGTCTTACTGTCAAGAATGAAAGTGTTGTGTTATTGATGAGGTTTGGGGTACATATAGCAAACCTTAACATTTGTACCCCCTACGACAAACCTCACTACAGGCTACAACATTTGACACACCCCCATAGCCTAAGTGAGGGGTGTCAAGCAAAACCAAAAGTGTACGGTCAGAAGACCAATCACAAAGAAACAAAGCTCAGGGGCCACAAGGCCAGTCCAAGAGTTCACAAAGGTGTATGGCAAAAGTACAAGCAAAGGAAATAGTAAACTCAAGCCTACACACGACTAGAACCTGTGTCAACAATACCTAACTGCACACAACACCTCTGGTGGTCACAAGGCGGAAGCACCTTGGTGAAGATGTCTGCAGTGTTGGCCTCGGACTCCACAAACTAGAAGCGAGCCTGTCCACGTCTCTGCAACTCACGCAGAAGAAAGTACCTGACGTTAATGTGCTTCACTCTGCTCTCCAGTCGCGGCTCTCGACAGAGGAGAATCGACGCCTTGTTGTCAGTGAACAAGGTCGGTGCAGAGCTCGGCCGCTCACCAAGGTCGGTGAGCAAGAAGGTCAACCAACGCAGCTCCTGTGCCACCATGGCACCAGCGTAGATCTCAGTCTCAGCAGTAGAGGTCGAGACCGAAGAGGAGTGCGTGGACCTCCACGAAACAGCTCCAGAACCCAAGGTGAAACAGTACCCCTGAGTAGACCTGTGAGTCTCAGCATCGTCAGCGTAAGAAGAGTCACAGTGACCAGTAAGTACGACAGACTGCTGCCCTCCAAGAACTAGCCCCACGCCTGATGTTGTCGCTAGGTACTTCGCCATCCTCACAGCTGCCGTCCAGTGAACAGGACGGTGTCTCCCTGGTGCAACAAAGCGAGCAAGGATGCTGAGAGGGAAAGCGAGGTCCGGGCGAGTGCAAGTCATCAGGTACATAAGGCAGCCCACCAGCTCTGCGTAGGGACCACTAGACTCAAACGGCTCGTCAAGAAAGGGTCCAGTAAGTCAGAGGTCAACAGCAAGAGGTGTGCGCTGTACTGTGGAGTGCTGAAGCTCGAACCGCTGAAGGACCTGCTGCACCATGTGTGACTGTGAGAGTGTAATGTTGCGAGCGGCTCTGTCCCTGGTGATCTGCAGGCCAAGGTAGTGGCGCAGCTCACCAAGGTCAGTGCACGTGTGTCTCTTCTGTAGTTCGGACTTCACATCTACCAAGGCAACCCTGTCAGCAATGGCGAAAACCAGGTCGTCGACGTAGACCAGAACAAAGGAAGGTGTGGAGCCATGACGGACGAACAGCGACGGGTCGGTAGAAGACGGCTGGAAACCAAGGTCAGAGAGGGTAGAACGAAGGGTGTCGTGCCACTCACGAGGAGCCTGACGGAGACCGTAGACAGGTCGCCTCAGCCTCCACTGGGTCCCAGGAGGGAAAGTGCCAGTGAAGGCGGAGGGACGACGCAACCAGACCTCCTCGTATAGGCTACCCTGAACGAAAGCAGTGGAGATGTCGAGAGAGTGTAACTCTCAGTCTCTCTGTGCTGCTACGTGTAGTAACACCCGAAGAGTGGTCATCTTCGAGGTAGGCGCGAAGGTCTGAAAGAAGTCAACTCCCTCGCGCTGACAAAAACCTCTAGCCACATAGCGCGCCTTGAAGACCGGAGGAGATCCCGGTGGCCGCTTCACCCTGTAGATCCACATGCCATCGACTACGTTCGCCCCAGGGGGGGGAACCTCATCGACGTAGGTGCCTGTGGATTTGTAGGAGGCCATCTCTGCGTCCATGGCAGCTCTCCACTGAGAGGCCCAAGGCCCTGACACTGCCTCAGCGTAAGTGCGAGGAGTCGGTATGTCAAGGGCGTTGGGGTCTCCCTCAGGGGAGAGCAGCATGGCAAAGAGATGAGGGGAAGCGGCTGCCAGGAACTCCACCTCAAACTGCATGTCCTCTAGGACATCACAGCCAAGGGCAGACTCACCCCCGACGGCCAGAGGACTGGTGTCGTCATAGCCATGAGACAAGTGGCGTGGTCAAGGCGGCGAGTAGTGGCGAACTCAGTGACGGTGACAGTAAGGGTGGAGACAGAGGACAGAGAGGCACGAGGGTCCGTAACAAAAGAGGCGAGAACACGAGGGAGAACAGGTCGGTACGTGCGGTAGTAGTCAGTGACAGGAGTAGAGAGGGAAGCAGTGAAGGCCGACTCAGGAGGAGAAGGAAGCACAGACTGAGACGAATGAGGCGGACTAGGACGGAACAGGGCAGTACGAAGGTCAGTGAGAGCGACAGGGGACGAGGGACGAGCACGAGGAGAGCCACGAGAGGGCCAGGCGGGCAAAGGGGGAGGAGACAACGGAGTCGGAGAACGAGGGAGAATAGCTAGGGAGGTGTCAGGAGGAGGAAACGTGGGACCGTAGAAAGGAGGAGAGTGGGAGGAGGAAGGAGAGGGAGAGGGGAGACCGAGGGTCCGAAGACCAGAGACAGGAGGAGGAGGTGGCGGCTGCTGCTGCTCCTGGTGCGGCTGCGACAGCTGCTGCTTCTCCCGCGGCTGCTGCTCCTCCTCCTCCTCCAGCCGCTGCTGCTACTGTTGCTCCACCTCCAGCCTCTGCAACTCTCTCTCCTCTCTCTCTAACTCCAGCTGCTCCTCACGGGCACGGCAAACACGAGCCTGGTGCCGGGTCGGGTAGGGGTGAGGGGGAGGAGTAGTGTCCGGGGCCGCGGCAGCCCCAGGACCACCTTCCAAAGCACCCGGCGCACCACCCCCAGAGGCAGTACCACCAACAGCAACACGGCCAGGCTCACAAGGACCCGAAGGGGGCGCACCCGCACCCCCAGACGTAGCACCCCCAGAGTCAGCACCACCTACACCAGCTCCCGGAAGACGAGAGTCTCCTGCAGCCTCGGGCTCAGCCCCAACTCCAGCACCCCCAGAGCTAGCACCGACAGGGTCCTCGCCATGAACACCGGCTCCCGCAGGGTCTGCCGCAGGCTGCGAGGAGGACTACGGGGAAGGAGGTTGTACCTGAAGGGCTACCGAGGGGGGAGGGGTAGCGTGGGACACACCTGACGGGGCTGGACCAGGGGGGGGAGGCTGTACCGGGGGAGCAGGAGGGGGAGCGGAAGTCAAGAAGAGAGGGGGAGGAGGAACCGGGAGACCTCGGCAGGGGTACCTGACGTAGTAGGGGACGGACTCGTTGAAACTGACGTCACGGGAGTCAAAGAACCGGTGAAGGGGAGGGTGGTAAAAGGTGAAGTCATAGGAGTCCTTTGGGAAACCAAGGAAGACACAGGGAATGGCGCGAGGCGAGATCTTGTCCGCGGAGGTGTCGCGAACAAGAGCCAAGGCACCCCAGACACAAAGCCGCGACGCAACACCAGGGGACCCGGTCCAAAAACTAGTCGGTGAAACCTCTGGCCGAGAGACACGTGGCCAGAGGTTCAGCTGGTCAGCGGCGTACCTAACCGCGTAGGGCCACAGAAAATGGGGGGCACGGGCGTGAGTCAAGGAGGTGCGGGCGATCTCCATGATCAAGCCTATGCGGCGCTCAGCAACCCCATTCTGCTGTGGGGACTCTGGAAGCGTCCAGGACTGACGAATGCCCTGCTCGTGACAGAATCCAGTGAGAATGCCGGAGCGAAACTCATCCCCACAGTCGGAGTGAAGGCAGCTGACTCGACGACCACGAGTGCCCTCAGTGGTAAGCAACCGCCTGATCAGCGTAGAAGTCACCTCAGACTTCTTCGCAAGGGGGAACACTGTGGTGTAGCAAGAGTAGTCGTCAACGACCACCAGAAAGAAACGCTCATGCTCAGGGCCAAGGCGAGAGGCGGGGCCCCAGACGTCCAAGTGGAGCGTCTCAAAAGGCTCGGTGGCCGGACGGAGGGAGGAGGAGTGAGGGGTGGCGCGTAGCCTACCCTCGACGCAGGGACCGCATTGTGGTGCAAGCGATGGCGGCAGCGACGGCAAGACACGTGGGAGGCCCAAGACAAGACGCTGACGAGACATAGTGCGCAGACGAGGGAGAGACGGGTGCCCCATCCAGTGGTGCCACAGAACGGTGGGGTGGGCAAGTGACCGGCAGGAGCACGACGCAGCAACTGGACCAGACACGGGAACCTGACCAGACACAGCTACCTGGGGGGACGCAGCAACCTGGTGAGACGTAGGGACCATACTGGGGGAAGGAAAAGGGGCCGGGGGCAGTAGTCGCTGCTGCTGCTGCTGCTGCTGCTGCTGCTGCTGCGGCTGCTGCTGCTGCTGCTCACCAGAGCCAGTGTGAAGTGTGTTGAGACCAGAGCGCGGCTCAGCTGTAAAGGTGGCAAGAGGCGTGTAAATGTCTCCGTCAACACAAACCGCCGTCTCACTAGAGGGCTCAATCCACTCACCCACGTGCTGACTCACAAGAGGCCTCACGCCCACCAATTTCCGCGAGAACGAGGGGACGTGGAAGCCAGTCAGCGACCCAGAGGGAACAGCAGGGCACGGAAGAGTAGTAGTGTAGCGAGCAGTGACTGGTCCCGAGGTGGGATCAGCCAGAGCGACAGAGACCGGCGTCGGAAGCGGAGTAAGTGTCGTGTGGTCCCGGAAGAAGCAGTGCGAAGCCCCAGAGTCCAACGTGAAAGACAGCGAAGCGTCCTCCGAAGTAGCTCATGGACTAGTGTCTACACAAGTGCCTACACTAGCAACAGGCAACTCAGCAAGACTAGCACCTAAGCTAACAACACTCGAGTAAACAGAGTAAGAAGCACTAGAGTCAGCAACAGCATACATAGCACGAGGAGTTCCTAAGAGATCAACCAACTGAGAAGCTGACATGCCCTAAAGAGCGGAGCTGTACGTCTGAACAAGAGGAAACTAGTCAAGGGCAGGGCCGCCAATGCCGAAGGCCAAGCGAACTGTGTCAGCGAGCTGAGCAAAACACTGACCAGGAGGATGGGTGCGGCCACAAGGCTGGCCTCGGCGAGGACCTGTCAAAAGCTGATAGGTGCACGAAGGGTGAACGACACCTCGCTGGGGCTGGCGCTGTCCTGGCCCCAAAACCTGCTGCTACCACTGCTGCTGCGAGGGCTGCTGTGAGGGGAGGGGCTGCTGCTGCCGCTGGGCCAGGTACCACGCCGCTGCTCCACCCGCCGCGGCCGGCAGACCAAAAGGTGGCTGACGAGCCCGGGTGTCACCTCCACCAGCTGAAGTAGGGGAGTCACTAGCCGCTGCACGAGAAGCCTCTCCAGGCCCTGCGCTCCCTCCGCCACCAGTCGGCACGCCACCCCCGCCACCTCCGCCGCCAACGCCTCCACCGCTGCCGCCACCTGTACCCTGACTGCCCCTCTTGCCACCCCTACCTCGAGACCGCGAAGAAGTCGTAACAGCAGCTGCGGTCACGTCACTAGCAGCAGTGGTTAGAGAGGTTGTAAAGGTGGGCAGCTGAGGGACAGTGCACCCGTGGAACAGTGGAGGGGGCACAACACCAGAGGCGGAGGCTATGGAGCGGAGATTGCTCTCGACGTCCTTGAGCGCAGACTCAAGGACCTCGATAGTGAGCTCACTAGGGTGCTTCAGAAGAAGCGTGTCATGGACCGAGGCAAGGCGGTCAGGGAGGCTAGTGGCGATGAAATAGATAGTAATCGCCATGGGGGGAGGAAGCAGTGCAAGCTGTGCCTCAGTGCAAGCAGCGCGGTAGCTAGAATCAAGCGAGCGGAGGTGAGCAATCAAGTCAGCAGAGCGCTCAAACGAGGCGAGGTCAGAGAACAAGAACGTAAGGAAGAGTCGGCCAAGAGAGACAGTGGTGGGAGTAGCGTAGCGGGCCTTAATCGAAGTCAGGAACTCACTAGCAGTGCGAACCTGAGTGAAGTGGGCCTCCTCAGACTCAGGGAGGAGGCTGCTAAGAGCGATGTAGGCCGCAGTGTCACGCGACTTCCACGCCGTCAAGTCAGCACGCTGACGGGTGAAGCGGTCCCTGGCTGCGTCGTCAGGGGCGGTACCTAAAGGCGTAGGGTCGTCGGGCACTGGAAGGTCACCAGTAGCGTGCGCCCAAAAGGACTCGCCCGCCTGAACCTGGCTCTCTAAAAGGCGACGCGAGCGTAGGAGCTAGACCGTAAACTCGAGCGGTCTACTGTCAACGTCAAGGCGAAGAACCCTAGGGGTCGCCATAGAGTAAGTAGAAGCGACAAGTCCGGCGGTGGGTGGCACTGGTAGGGACGGTGGGCGGCTAGGTCAAGTCCGTGACGGGCGCAAAACGCGGGCGCAACGGGGCTAGGGGCGGTCCCGCGGCGGACTGAATGAGTAGGCGCAGCGGTGCGAAGGAAGGGCCTAATGAGCGGGCCCGCAGCGGACCTAACGAGGAGGCGCGGCGACTGGCTGAACTGGCAGGCGCGGCGGCTGTAAGGGAGGGCCCACGGCGGCTGTAAGGGAGGACCCGCGGCGTGCCTAATGAGCAGGCGCGGCGGCGGGCGGTACGGGCAGGCGCGGCAGCTGTAAGAGAGGGCCCGCGGCGGCTGTAAGGGCGGGCCCGCGGCGGGCCTAACTAGCAGGCGCGGCGGCGGGCGATACGAGCAGGCGCGGCGGCGGGACGAGCGGGCCCGCGGCCGGGCCTAACGAGCAGGCGCGGCAGCGGGCGGTACGGGCAGGCGCGGCGGCGGGACGAGCGGGCCCGCGGTCGGGCCCAACGAGCAGACGCGGCGGCGGGCGGTACGGGCAGGCGCGACGACGAAATGCGGAGTGCCGCGGTGATGAAATGTGGGGTGCTGCGGTGACGAAACGCGGGGCGCCGCGGCGACGAAATGCGGGGCGCCGCGGCGACGGAAATAAGGGGCGCCGCGGCGACAGGCGCGGCGCGCGAGCGGGCGTTTAGGGCAGCGGGGGGAGGACATGACGCGACGGTCAGGGTGGGAGGGCACGTCGCGACGAGCAGTGGAGGAGGGCGTGACAGGACGGGAAGCCGGGGAGAGCGTGACGCGACGGGCAAGGGGGGGGGGGGGGGGGGGGGGGGGGGGGGGGGGGGGGGGAGGGCGTTACGCTACGCGGAAAGCGGGTCGGCGGAGCGGACACTAACGAACGAGCGAGACTGAATCGGGCCGGCGCTAGGCTCGGGAAAGACGGGTACGACTAGTACGAGAGAGCGAGACTGGATCGGGCCGGCGCTAGGCTCGGGCAAGACGGGTACGACTAGTACGAGAGAGCGAGACAGGCTCGGGCGGAACGAACGAGGACGGGAGGAGCGGGATCCCACTGGATCCTAATCTAGGTGATACCATGTCAAGACTGAAAGTGTTGTGTTATTGATGAGGGTTGGGGTACATATAGCAAACCCTAACATTTGTACCTTCTAAGACAAACCTCACTACAGGCTACAACATTTGACACTTACGAACTGTTTGACATCAATAAAAAAAAGCGTCAACAACGCCAGTGACGAAACAAAGAGACAGTGTAACCAGCAACTCTCGACGAAATGACAGCTGTGGAGTGTGGGTGATCGGAGGACGACAGATTAAAAGACAGGTGAGGAAAAAGTGTCGATTTTGACTAAATGTTGGACTTGATGTCCAGCTGGTAATGTGGTGTAGAGCTTATGGCACTACATGTATTTCGATCTTCTCTACGGGTATCGGCCCTTGTGGGCAACGAATTGCCAAACATCCCAGATGTGCGAAGTCCGTCTGGCCTTGTTTCGCGAAAGTAACCAGCCAATGACGATCGTTGAACGCAATTCGTTACAAGTCGACCCAGCCACTTCACGAAATTTGATCCCCCACGCGAACTTGTGGTTGTGGAGGTGGGTTTGCTTCTGCTCCTGGAGTCGAGACGAGATTCTCCCCTCATTCCTAGGAGTATGTGAAGCTTCAGTATAGTCAAGCCTCACCGCGGCGCCATAGACCTGCCACCCTGGCATTTCAAGAATGGTCGGAGACCACACTCACAATGACCTGTTGGGCATGTGGGCAACCTTGAGTCAAATTGTCCCGTTGACTGTGGTGTGGTCGTGGAATAGACCCTACAGTTTACATTTGGCAGTGTTGAGGAAACTAAAAAGGTCATATTATTAACTCTAGTAATCAGAAAGACCTGCATAAGCTGATAAATCACACTGACGATTCTACATGATAAGCCATTTCAGAATTAAAAGGGCCGATACCGAAAGTCAGCCTGGGTACAATTTTTTTTGCTGGAAATAATAAAAAACCAGCAGTAAAACGCTCAGAAATAAACTACGCTGCCTCTAGTAACAGGTGCTTCACTACTTTTGGGTTCCTGCGAATGCAGGGGAGGAAAGAACAAAAGAAAGGGAAAACAGGGTATGTGATGTGATGTGTGACCGAGGCTGGGAATCGAACAAGACAAGAAACTTATCTGTAGTAGCCTAATAGGCGTTTACAGAGATCCATCTGAACCATTACCGTAAGCAGAAAAACAAAGCGAAGGAACCTGCTGTTGAATTACCTCGTGCAAGGGACCTCCATATCGAGGACGCAGTGCGCTCCAGGACTTCCCTTGCTTCATCAGCAGACTGCGGAAACGAAAAGAACCGACCAAGGGAGGGCAAGAGAGAGAAAGAACTAGAGTGAGTGAGCAAAGAGGGAGCGAGCAGGAGAAAAGGGAAGCCATATGTGTGCTTCGATTCGATTGGGAGTAAACTCAAGGTGCATACTCCCTCCCTTTCCTTCTCCCCCTCTTCCCCTTTCCCTCCCTTTCTTAACCCCACCCCTCCCATCCTCCCTCCCTCTTTCTCACCCCACCCTAGTCCATGAGTTGTTCTTTCTTTGGGAGAGCCCAGCCCCACACCCACAAAAGAGAGAATTAGTTTTGAGGCATCTCAAAGCAAACTTTTCCCCCTCCCATCCTCCCTCCCTCTCTCTCACCCCGCATTGGTCCATGAGTTGTTCTCTCTTTGGGAGCGCCCATCCCCACAGCAGAGTGACCACGCTCACTGCTCGCGACATCTGCTGGCCCTCCATTCGCCCTGATACCAGGCGGAAGGTGCATACATGGGGGGGGGGAGAGACAGGGGAGGTGACTTTTGAGACTTCTCAAAAAGTGTCTCTCCATACACCCTGAGTCCCTGATACCAGAAGGAGGGTGGGGAGATGGGTGGGGGGAAGACGGGGGAGGCGTGGGTGTGGGAGGAGGGAGCATGAGCCGGGAACCATGAAGAGTGGAGCAGCGATTCATGCAGCGAAGTGACACCCAGACACACTTGCACACTCTTGTGCTGCAAAACCATCAACCCCACGCACATGTCCCGCTTCTCAGCCACACATTGCATTCCACTCATAATGACTGTCGCATCGACTGAAAAGGTTTTTGACTCCTTGGAAAACACCCTTTCTATGCGAAAGGTTTTGGCCCGGAATACCCAGTCACACGTCTCAGTCAGCTAGAGACAGCAACTGGGCGACACACTTCGAGTCGACTCACAACTTTTGGCACGACACTTTTTTTGGCCCACCATCCCCACCATCCCCACTCACACGTCTCAGCCAGGGACAGTAACTGGGCGACAAACTTTGGCAGATCCCGGGTCGGCCATCGCCGCCCGCTCCCCACGGTGTGGGTGGCAGCCATGCGGGCGGCAATGGTGAGGCACAGCAGCACGCGCTCCTCGTCCAGCGGGTAAATCAAATCTATGAGCTCCGCCGCCCCGTCAGAGGGGTCTAGGCAGGCTAGCAGCCCCTGTAAGCCCCAGTCAAAGGCTTCTAGAGAGAGGAAATCTGCTGCCTCCCCGTTGACGTCTATGAGCTGCGGTGGGGAGGGAGGAAGTGGAGGGAGAGAGCGGAAAGAAGCATTTATTGATCCGACTCAAAAAGGCCACAGTTGCAGGCTTCAGAAAAGGGGAAGCCTGCTGCCTTCCCCTTGATGACTATGAGCTGAGCTGTGTGGGGTGGGAGCCTCCCCTGAGCGGGAGGCAGCAGGCATACACATCCCACACTCACACACACCACTCGCCTCGCACGCGTGCATGCACCAAGACATCTAGAAACGCGATGCTGAGACGCCGCACAACCCGCTCCCACACACCCAGTGTCACAGAGTCACAGGCTCACCTCATACGTATGCATCACTGACTTGACTTGCATTGTTTCGAGCGGCATGGGGTACTGCGGCTGCTCACTCCGCCCTCAGGACCCGCACCCACCCACACACCCAGTCTTACACGCTCACCTCGTATGTATGCATGACGGACTTGACTTGCATTGTCTCCAGCAGCATGGGCAGCTGCGGCTGCTCGCTCTCCAGCAGCCGTCCCACGCGCAGCCACACGGCCCACCCCACCTGCTGCTCCGGGTCTGCAATCTGCTCTACTACCTCCACTGCCCTCTCCTCTGCCTGCCCCACTGTGCGCACGCCACTTCCTGGGAGGCCTATTCCTAGCCACCGGTTTAGCACCACGTGCGCTGCTAGCTCGCGCTCTAGCGCTTCTAATGCTGCCAGGCCGCTCGTGGGCGCGGGGGACGTGGGGTTGAGAGAAGAGGATGAAGGGGATAGCGAAGCAGCCGCAGCCGAGGTGGTGGCAGTAGCAGCAAATGTACGGTCTGACATTGCTCTTGCTACTGCTGCTGCTGCTGCTGCTCCTGCACCTGCTAATGCAAATGATGACGATCCTGTTCCTCCTGCCAGGCCAATCACACCATTCCCAGCACCACCACCACTATCACCAGCAGAAGCAGACGCAGAAGCAGAAGCAGACGCACCAGAAAGGTTAAACGACCCAGCAGCACCACTACTGAGCCCACCCCCAGGACTACTACCCCTCAGATTCATCCTGAGGAAGTTCAGAGTGACCTCATACGCCCACGGGAATCGCTGCTTCAGCTGCTTGCTTCTCAGCATCGCATCTGCAAACTGCCCGATGTACACAGGAGCTGGTGTCGGCTGCGGCAGCGGCGGCAGATGCAGCCCTGCAGTTGCCATCGCCGCACGGCCAAGCGCGGATGCTACAGAAGCTGCCACTGCAGCTGCTGTAGCTGTAGGCGCGGCAGCCATAGCTGATCCTGGTGCATTCTTGATCGCAGTGGCAAGCCGCGCGAACCGCGCTGAAACCGACTCCACCCCTCGCCCGAGAAACACCATCGAGATCACCTGCCCGAACCCGTCCACGCCGAGCCTGCCCGTAGCTACGGCGGCCATGCCGAACCTAAAAGCAGCCTCGTGTAAACCCATTCGGACGCAGTGCCGTGCAATTGCCAGTAGATCGTCTGCAGAGAGGTTCCTGAGAGACCGGGCTTCCACAGCGAGGTTCATAGCTAGGAGACCGGGGCCGAAGCCGAAGGAGTAGTAGAGTCTGTCTATCTCCTCGCATCGCTCCGCCAAGTTGCTGTGCCTCGCCTGCGCTATGCCTTCTGCTAGTGCGATCTCGGCAAGGGCTGAGAGAGGGAGTGGTGCCCATGCTGCTGCTGCTGCTGCTGGTGGTGGTGGTGGTGATAGAGGCTGCTGCTGCGGTGGCTGGGGCTGTGACTGGGGCTGTGATTGTGGTTGCGGTCTTGATTGCTGGTTCTTCTCCTGATCTTTGGGATTGGACTGCTCTCCCTGCCCTTCTTCTGGTGCCCCCGCCTGACCCTGCCCCTGCCCCTGCCCCTGCCCCTGCCCCTGCCCCTGCCCCTGCCCCTGCTCTGCACGCTGCTTCCTCTGCATCTCCTCCTCCTGCTGCTGCTCCTGCTGCTGCTTCAACAGCGCCTGCATCACCAGCTCATGCCTCGAGCTCGACCGTCCCATTCCCGCTCCCGCTCCCCCACCATCCTCCCCCCCTCCTCCCAGAGCGCCACTAGCAGCAGCGCGGTCAAAGCAAGCAGTAAGCACGGACCGAAGGCAGCTCATGACCAGTGCACGGCAGGAGGCGAGATGAGCGGACGGGAGGAGGTCAAAGAGAGCAGGCATGCCTGTCACATAGTGGTGGGGGGAGTCTAGAGAAATGTCTTGTTGGAAAGAGCTGCTGGGGGAAGGGGGAACGGAGCCGCTGGTGCTGCTAGCAACGCTGCCACAGGCGCTGGCAGTGCTGGTGCTGCTGCTGGTTTTGGGGATGTGGCCAGTGCTCACTCTCGCAACAGCAGCTGCAGCAGCGGCTGCTGCTGAAGCGGCAGCAGAACTGGCAGTATTCAACGAAACGGAACCAGAACCAGCGGTGGCAGCAGCGGCAGCAGGAGCAGCAGAGCCCGAGTGTTGGAAGCTTGAGAAGGCCGAGCCGAGGAGAGCGGAGCCTATCGCAAGAGAGAAGCGGCGCTTGTGACTCGTACCCTGCTCGTGCTGCTGCTGCTCGTGGTGGTGCTGGTGGTGGTGGTGGCGGTGTTGTTTCCCACTGTCAGCAGCAGCAGCAACAGCAGCAGCAGCAGCAGCAGCAGAAGCAGCAGAAGCAGAAGCAGAAGCACCGTCCCTTGGCGCCTGGCTGAATGTGGGAGACGTGGGCTGGCTATCCGCGCTCCTCCCCAATCGAGACGACGAGCGAGGGGGCGAGAGCAGCAGGGCCTGCTGACCAGCAGCAGCAGCAGCAGCAGCACCACCAGCTGGGACTGCAGGAGCAGCAGTAGCAGCCGCCGCAGCAGCAGCAGCTGTCCTCACATTTCCCAGGCCGGCAGCAGCTGCGGCCGCAGCAGCAGCCTCGGCAGCACGAGCGGCGGATTCAAGAAACGCGAGGCGGTCGAGGAGGTGAAGCAGGCACATGCACGCTGTGGCAGGCTGCCAAGAGCAGATGGACGCAGCAAGACCCACCAGCAACACCACCTCGTCTTGCCTGCATACCATCCCCTGCAAGTACCCCCCTCCTCCTCCTCCCCCCCCTGATCCCCCTGCTGCCCCTGCCCCTGCTAGAGCTTCCTTGGCGAGTCTGTACTGCAGCGAGCCTTGGGAGCCCCACCGGGCTTCTACAGGAGAGGGCATGGGAGCAGTAGTGAGGGCGGCTGAGCTGCGGCCTAAGGTGCCGTGGCGGCGCAGGGATTGGGCCAAGGAGGAGGAGAAGAAGGACGGGCGCCGATTCCCTTCTGCCCCCTGCTGCTGCTGCTGCTGCTGCTGCCGCCTGTTGCCCCCCATCTCCTCCTCCCCTTCCTCCTGCTCCTCTCCCTCACCTTCCTCCTCGCCCTCCTCCCCACCGTACCACTCTTCCAGCTCATATGCCCAGTCTGGCTTCTCTTCCCCCCACTGCTCCCAGTACTTGATCCACACAGCTAGCCCAAAGGCAAACAGCTTCCTCACCTGAGTCTCCGAGAATTGCTCGCAGCTGCCACACGCCCCTTGGAACTTTCTCTTCACCCACTCGTATTCTCTTAAAGCCGAAGCTGCCGTCCAGTTGGGGTTGCTCTGCACGCTCCGAACCACAGGCACGGCACTCCCGAGCCACTCGCCCTCGTCCGAAGCAAACAGCCCCGACAGCGACCGCGGCTGGGGCGCAGGCTCCCGAGCACTACTGGTGTTCACCCCACCGACAGCAGCATGTGAGGGCAGCTGGAGGGAAAGCTCTAAGTACCGGAGGAAGAGGCGGGACCAGTGCTCCTGGCACGATTGTGCAGCTGAGCGTGCCATGCCTATGATCCCAAACTCGCGGCTCGTTGCTGCTGCTGCTGCTGCTGCTCCCATTGTGCGTACGCTGCTGAGCCGACGAACAATTTCCGGCCGTCGGATCGTCGAGAGCGATCGCACAAACATCATCTCATCAACAACTTCATCCTCTTCCTCTTCCGTCTCATCCTCTGCCCCATCAGAATCAGTCTCCTCCTCCCCATCTGCTTCTAACTCATCCTCCTCTGAAGTTTCCAAGCGTGCATTGCCCTCCCTCCCCTCCCTGCCCTCCTCCTTCACCTCGCTCCATCGCACCACCTTGACCGCTCTTCCTCCCCTCACATCCAATCCACCCTCCTCACTCACCACCTCCTCCTCCACATCCTCCCACTCCTTCCTTCTCCCGTCCTCCGCTCTCTCCTCTCTCTCCTCCTCTCCCTCCTCCTCCCACTCCTCGCCCTCCTCGCCCTCCTCGCCCTCCTCGCCCTCCTCGACCTCCTCGCCCTCCTCACCCGCCACCACTCCCCCTTCCGAGTCCATGTCATCACAGCTGAACTCATGTATGACCACGGAGTCGCTGCGTGGCACGCCATCATCTTCAGACATTATCCTTGCCAGTGGCGACTGCTGCGCCCGCTGCTGCACACTTGCCTGCTCCGAGACAAACTGCTGCTGCTGCTTACCTTGCTGCTTCTCCTGCTCCCGCTCGTGCTCCCGCTCCCGCTCCCACTCCTGCTCCTGCTCCTGCTCCTGCTCCTGCTCCTGCTCCTGCTCCTGCTGCAACAACAGATGCACATCAGCAGCAGCGGCAGCAGCAGCAGCAGCAGCAGCAGCAGCAGCAGCAGCAGCAGCAGCAGTGCTGGGCGGGACAGGTGGCCGCATGCGAGCAGGGCTGGGCCCTCTCAGACCGCCAACACCAGCAGCAGAAGCAGCGAAGGCAGCAGCAGCTGCAGCAGCAGCAGAAGCAAGCAGGGAACTACCGTCTTCTGGCACAGCAGCTCTCCCCACAACTGGTCTCTCCATCCCCACTCCGTCTCTACTTCCTCCCGCTCTTTCCCCTTCTCTTCCTCCTCCTCCTCCTCCACCTCCTCCTCTACCTTCTTTCTCCGCTCCTAGTGTGGTCACCAATGCTACCGATCCCACTGCTGCGCCTGTTGCAGGCCCCGCTGCTGCCAATGGCACAGGTGCGCCCCCAGGAAGCACATCATACTCTGTCATCACTCTCTTGCGCTGCTGCAGCGGCGACCGCGGCCTTACTGCAAAAACACCACCAGCACCAGCGCCAGCGCCAGCACCAGCAGCAACAGCGCTTGCAACAGCCTTGGCGCCAGAACTGAGAGGGCCCGCATAACCCATACCCCACGGATCCTTCCCTCTTCCAGTCATTAGAGATTCTAGCTCCATAGCCCCAAAACTCGTGCTCCTGCGCTGCCACAGCATCCCCCCCTGCTTCACACCCCCAGCACCACCAGCAGCCCCGGCACCCGCACCAGCAGCAGCGGCGGCAGCAGCAGCTGCTGCTGTTGAGCGGCCAGCAGCAGCGCCCTGGCGGGACGCTATGGCCACGCGGAGAGGCGTGCGTGAGCGGGCGTCTGCAGCGGCTGCAGCAGCAGCAGCAATGACGGACGCTGATGCTGCTGCCGCGGACGGTCTCAGCACGGGGGAGTAGAGAGGAGGCACTCCCATTCCTGCTGCCACTGCTGCTGCTGCTGCTGCTGCTGCTGATCTGCCTGCTGATTTGCCTGCTGGTGAACTTGCAGGGAGTAGAACGGTGGGAGCAGTGGTGGCGATGGTGGTGGTGGTAGGGGTCATAAGACCGCCACTGGCATCTGTACGGCCAAGGGACGGAGGTGTAGCAGCCTCCTCTTCTTCCTCCTCCTCCTCCTCCTCCTCCTCCTCCTCCTCCTCCTCCTCCTCCTCCTCCTCCTCCTCCTCCTCCTCCTCCTCCTCCTCCTCCTCCTCCTCCTCCTCCTCCTCCTCTTCCTCCTCTTCGCCTTCACCACCTCTCCCACCAGCGGAAAGATCAGCAGAGCTCCGGATAGGACTCACCAAGGGGCTGATCATCCCATCCCCAACCCTCCTCCCTTCCTCCTCCTCCCCCTCACTCTCACTCTCACTCTCCTCACCATCTCCCAACCCAGCAGCAGCACGCACAGCCGCAGCCGCCGCTGCCAATTCCACCTCCCCCTCCGGCAGGGGAGGCAACGCCTCTTCCTCCTCCTCCCCCTCCCCTTCCTGAGGCCCAATCACCAGGCGCGCAGCAGCAGCTTCAAGGTCTGGCATGGCAGGGAAGGACCAAGCTGCGTCCTTTTGGGAGCGGCTGTGAGCGCGCCGCCGCTCCCGCTGCTGGATACTCAGCCGAGATCCCCCCCCTCCGCCTCTCACCCACGCCCTCCGCATGCTCGCTGCCACGGCCTCTGGATTCTCCCCCTCTCCTGCTCCTGCCCCTCCCCCTCCCCCACCCCATACCCCTGCCCCTCCGAGCCCGCCTGCACCCAGCGCAATCCCCCCCTGCTCCGACCCGTGCCGGCTACCCTCTGTCCCCTCGCTGCTGCTGTGCGGCGACCACCCATCCATGCCCATGCTCATGCTCATGCCCATGCCCATGCCCATGCCCATGCCCATGCCCACTCCCATGCCTGTGCCCATGCTAAGCTCGTCCCCTGCAGGGTCGTGGGAGGAGGTGAGGAGGAGTGGTTCCACAGCCACCATCTGTATGTCCTCAGGCACGCCCATCTGAGCCATGAACTCCGCAGGGCTTGGCACGCTGCTGCTGTCCTCTGCCACTTCGCTTGCTGCTGTTGCTGCTGTAGCGGCAGCTGCAGCTGCACTGGAACCTCCTCCTCTCGCTGCTGCCTCTCCTTCGCGTGCTGATGGTGCTGATGCTGATGCTTTTCTCTTCTCCCGTTGCTTACCGCTCCCTGTGCTCCTCCCTCCCCCGTCGCTTCCCCCCTTCTTCTCCCGGCTCTTGCCACTTGCACTGCGCAATCCCTCCTTGCGCTTCGACTTTACCTTCCCAAATGCATCTCCCTCTATACCCCCCTCTGATGCTGCTGCTGATGCTGCTGATGAAGATTTCGCCAATGTTGCTGGTGCTGCTGCTGCCTTCCCCTTCTCTTTTAAGCTAGAGCGACGCCGCTCCCTACCACTCCCACCATCCGAATCAGTGCACGATCCATCCCGTACCAGCATGATGCTCCTGCTTCTCCGCTCTCTCTTCTTCTTCTCCCCATGCCCACCATCCGCGCCCTCCTCCCCTCCCTTCCCACCTCCACTGCCTCGCTCCCCTACCCCCTTCCTCCTCTCCTCTCCCCCTTCCTTCTCCTTGTCCCGTTTCGCCCGCTCCTTTCTCTCGCGCACTCGCCTCTCTTTCTCCTCTTCCCTCTCACCTCCCCCTTCCCCTGTCTCCTCTCCACCCTTCTCTGCTCTCTCCACCCCACTCCCCTTTTCATCGCTCGATTTTCTTGGCTCCCTCCTTTTCTCCTTCACCTCTTGCCCATGCAACTTCCCCTTACCAGGCTTGCCTGTTTGAGCCGCCCCTACCGCCCCTACCTCCACAGACTGAGACCTGCCCAGCTTCTCCCGTGCCTTCTCACCCTTCCTCCCTTTCTCCCTCTCCTCAGCACCTCCTCTCCTCCTCTCTTTCTTATCAGATCCCGTCCTTTCCAAATTCAGGCCTGCGGCATTCCTACCCGATTTCTCCCCACCGCTCTCCCCCCCATCTGCCCTCCTCTCGCTCTCCCTCTCCCTTTCTCTCTCCCTCTCCCTCTCCCTCTCCCTCTCCAGCGGCAGAGTCACACTCTTCCCAACAACTGACTCCTCCTCGCTTCCCATCCCCGCACCACCTACAGCAGCGCCACCACCACTGCCAACACCACCACCAACACCACCCACACCACCCATCCCAGCCACACCACTCCCACCAACAGCAGCGCCATCAGCAGCACCACCCCAGGACATACCACCCTGTGACGTCCCTCGTAGCCTTGACCCCCGCCGCTTCTCCCCTGCACCTTCTCGCGACCTCCCCACCCCCTCCCCTTCCATCGCACCACCCCTACGTTGCTCACCAACATTCGACTGTGATCGCCCCAGTTTACTGCTTCGTTCCTTTCTCAATGCATCCTTCCCCTTCCCCATGCCCATGCCCACGCCCATGCCCACGCCCCCTTCCTTCTTTCCCACTTCCTTTCGCCCCTCTTCCTTTCTCGGCCCTTCTTTTCTCCCCCCTCCCTGCGACCCCCCGGCTACTTCCCCCTCCTTCTCATCCGAACTGCTACACCCTCCGTCCTTGCTCACCCGTTTGATCAGCTCTGCCATGCTCGATCTGGACCGTCCAATCCCCTTAGACATCTCCAGAACCTCCCTCAACGCTCGATCCTTCTCCTTCACACTCCCAGCCTCCTTCCCCTTTTCTTTATCCTTCTCCTTCTCCTTCTTCCTCTCCCTCTCCTTATCCCTCCCCCCTGTCTTCTGCTCCCTCCGCCCACCAAGTCTATCGCCCAAGCTCTCACTCCCACCACCCACTATTACCGCCCCCAACTCCTCTGCACACACGCCAGCTGCAACCGCTCTCCCTACCCCCGTTCCCGATCCTCCCCAAGCCACCATCTCTCCCCCATCCCCCCCGTCCCCCCCTTCTCCCCCGTCCCCCCCGTCCCCCCTGTCCCCCTTCCCCACAGGCTGCGCCATGGGCGCGCCTCCGCGCTCCCCCTCCTCCTCTTCCACCGCCACCATCATCACCTCCCCTGTTGCCAGCACAATCTTTCCCATCACTCGCCGCCCCCCTGCACCGCTCTGCACCACTGTGGCTTCCACCAGGCGCGCAGGGATGGTGCTGCTGCGCCCATCCTCCCCCACCACGTCTACTTCGATCTCCTGCCCTACCGCCCACGCCCCCGCCTCTGCCCCTGCTGATGCGCCTTCTGCTGTGTCTGCATCTGCTGCTGCTGCTGCTGCTGCTGCGCCGGCGGGAGTGGCCCCTTGCGCTGCTCCTCTCGCGAAAGAGGGCGTAGCAGAAGCAGGTGCGTTGTGAGGAGGGGACGACACGGGAAAACGGCTGCCATGGAAGGCAGAAGAACTACTAGCACCGCCGTCACCACCACCACGCAAGCCTCTCAACAGCAACCCCTGATGCATCTCGTCCGTGCTCACTCCTTTCCTCCTCGCCTCCTCCTCCCTCTCCTCCACTAACTCTTCCTCCCACTCCTCCACTTCCTCTCCCCCGTACTCCTTTTCTTCCCTCCTCGCATCTGCTTCCTCTCTCCTCTTCGATTCCACCGTCCCACTTTCAGCACCACCAGCAGCAGCAGCAGCAGCAGCAGCAGCAGCAGACGGCCTATTCAGCCGTTTCCTATCCTCTGATAGAGGCAACGGCGTATCATAGAAACTCTTTTCGAACCCGCCTCCCGCTCCCCCCGCGACCCCCATGTCCACCCTCCCGCTGCTCGCCCCCCCAAGCCCACTCACGCCCACCGGGGACGAGCGTCCGCTCCCCAGCCCTAACCGCCTGAAAACGCGGGAGATGCGCCCGCTGCGCCCCCCTTCGTCCGCCGCCCCCGCTCCCCAAGACAGACCTCCCGCGCTCGCAGCAGCAGCACCTCCGCCCGCAACCCCCCCCCCACCCCCACCCCCAGCGGAAGCTGCAACGTAGTGCGCCGTGAGGTCCGCGCTCGCTGCGCGCGCGTGGCCTGCGCCGCGCTCCGCCGCCAGCATCCGCGCAGCCATTGACGGGGGGGGCTTGCGGAATATGCTTCGCGCATGCGCCTGCGCCTCCCCGTCTGCTTCCGCCTGCTGCTGCTGCAGCAGCAGCGGATGCTCCGAAAACGATTGCGAGCCCGCTACTATTGCGCCACGCCCTGACTGCTCGTCAGCCGTTTCATGCTCCAAGGATAAACTACCCTTGGACCCCCCTCCTACCCTCTCCGATAACACACGCTCCCGACCAGAGATACCCGCCGTTGCACCACCACCGGCACCAGCAGTGGCAGCGGCAGCGGCGGCGGCGGCGACTCCTAACGAAGGGTCATCCACAGACGCCCAGCTCTTGCCGCCGCGGAACCCCGCCAAGCGCGCCATTAGCACGTCGCGCTTCCGCCTAACGGGCGCGGCAGCAGCAGCAGGAGAAGGAGCAGGAGCTGGAGACGCTGCGCCAATTGCGCACTCGCTAAATTCCTTCTCCATCCCACCTGCGTCGCCGCCACCGCCGCCGCCGCCGCCACCAGCGGAGGCGGGGGAAAGTAGCACCCCGGAAGAGCCGCCGCCTTCCCCCGCGGCTGATCCGCCGCCAGCCGCGGAAGGGGACGAACTGGAGGAGACGGTAGAGGTTTCGAGAAGAAACGAGGCGATGTCGTCGGGATCGTTACTGGCACTGCGCGAAACGGGAATGGAGGGTGCGAAGCACGCGCCCTGTGTCTTCGAGAGCGATTTCTGAGAATTCTCAAGAATCGCACCCTGTTTCCGCGTCCCCTGAGCACTCGCCCCCCGGCCGCCACCTGCTGCTGCTGCAGCTCCGCCTCCTCCGCCTCCTCCGCCGTCCCGTCGGCCTCTGCTGCGGCCTCCCCCTCCGCCACCCCCTCCCCCTCCGCCTTCTCCGTCCGATAATCCATGTCCCTCGGTCACAATAGCCGGGAGTTCCGACGAGGAACGGGAGCGGCCGGAGGAGCGCAGCCAGCGCAGGGGTGAATTACCCCCGCCGGGCGATTTTGGGGCGGTGGGAGAACGGTCTGCTGGCGGAGGGGATGCGGGTGCGCCGGTTGCTGTTCCTCTGACCAACCGCATCGTGGCACGTGCACGAACGGCACGAGCGGCACGAGCAGGAGCACGAGCAGGAGGACGAGATCGAGCAGCAGATAGTTTGGAAGGTTAGGGTCGAGAAGTTCCTTGGAGTTGTTTCAGCGGCGGTCGAGGTCCGACGGAGAGTACGAGGGTAATTTTGCCGGTGGTTGTGAAGGGAATAGCAGCACGCGGCGGAGCTTGACGAGAAGGCCGGTTGCGAATAAATAGTTGGAGACACTCGGCCATGTTTGGAGTGAATAAAAATAGGTTTTAGAACGCAAAAGAATCAGACGCGCAATCGGCCATGCAATATGATGCCATTATCAATGCCTACTTTGGTTGATTATTGTAACAGCTATTCGTGAGCATAAAGGGGCTGACATTGCGTAATCGATCAATATGTGGTGCTCTCAGAACCTATGCACCACCCTCGCTGCCCAGCGCCAGCTCTTGTTGACAACTAAAAAGGCTCCTACATGCTGATGGCGCGTGTCTTTTGCAAATTTGGATAAAGTTCATGTTTTTTTTTGTGAAACTTCACATTTGAACCTTGGTCGACCTGTGCTCGATTATCTCGACTTTTGGTGGTCGAGGAGCACGGTCAACAAGCCTGAGTCGCGCATGGAACAACAAAGTTCGACTATCAAAGTTCAACTTTAAACGGTAAATTCCGAGTCGTGCTAAATTTTCGTAAGTTACTCGTTTCGCTGTGCTGTTCGTGGCCGTGTTAGGCATTGGTAACACTATAGGTTGTACCTCGTTTATGTCGTGAAATTCGTGCGTGCGCAAAAGAACACACGATTGGATTAACGTAAACGTAAAATTCCGAATGCGATGTCGACTTTAGTTCGTGTCCAAATTCTTTCACAAAGTTTGAACTAACACACACGATTTCCCTGAAAAGGTATCGACAGAATTTGCGAATTAGGTTACCATAAAAAAATGAACCTTTTCCGAACGTCTACACAAACACGCGCCCTAAAGCGCCAGAGGCTCTGGAGTAGAATCTGCCAAAAGAGGACGGAAAAGCAGCTGGCGGTGACAATCGCTATCGCTGTCGCTTTCAGCAGACCACGACAATTGACCAGGAGTACAACTCGTTACTGCAACTCAAAGCGAACCACTTGACATTGAGGCGGTGTTCGGCAGCCCAAGGGATCCAGCGATGGATGAGTCGAGGCATCGAAAATCGACAGCCTCGCCCCTAGTTGTGACAGGTCAACTTGGGGTCAACCACAGTTGACGCCAAGTTCGAGGTCCTAGCGCAAGCGGAAGGACTCGGCGGTAATTGCGGAGGTCCAGGGTGGTAGGGGTAGGGCAACGGAAGCAGACGCCTTGCAAACGCGAGCCTTCGCGACGTGAACAGTTCCCGTGAGGGTTTGTTTTTAAGCCTCACCCTAAATTGCAGAAAAAAATACCCTGGATATTTCTGTTGATAAGTTACTCTTTCTTAGTTCGTGTTTTATTTACAATTGCTAAAGGTCAACACTTAAACAAGTAAACCCACCCGAATTTCATTTCATGTATTTTTCGATAATCATCCGTTAAGGTACAAGGAAAAGGCTACGAACTCTATCTGGGTGAAAGTGCATGTGTGTTTTAAAAAGCATACCCATCGTCTGGGGCATGGAATTCTGATTCCCCGTGGGGTTGTCCACCTCACGGGAATCCACTTTCCATCACTCGACACTGGGGCGGAAAGTTTCCGCCAAGGGGGGTGGTTCATGGGGAGGATGCGGCGCGGTCACAGGTCTAGGTTGGGGCTCGCGTCGCGTTTTTGGCCCACGTCCGGCATGTTTTTCGTCTTTTCATCTGCTGACCGTAGTGTTTTGCCTGGTTCGTCAAGGTCGAACCAGGAGTGCCGACGTTTTCATCCTCCGTCCCATGCCCCCCCGTCGATCCCTGTGGCTGCCGAACTCGCCTTAGAATGCACGCACCGGTTTCTGCAACTCAGAATCATCCGCCTTGTCAACAGCCTGAAAGAACAGGTTCTGGATGGAACCGACACGGAAGGTAACCGTAACGTGGTGCAGCGAAATTTGGTTCGCATACGCACTGGATTCCTGGCGCCAGCGATGTCCAGCAAAGCAGTACATCACGATTCACACGTTCTGGGCCTTGCGAAACATCACGATTCACCAAACTCACCCAACCCACCAATCCCACGATTCCCGCGAGAATTGAACAGGCGACACGTCATCTAAATACTGTACGCCAAGGAATCCAAGGGCCAAGCAAGAACCAAGGAGATGAAGCGTGCAAGCGAAGAGGAGCGGAGCAGAACCGCAATCAAATCCACTGAAAGCCACGATGCGAAGAAGGGCGATAGGTATGTACGCGAGATGTTCGTACCCGTTTCATCTGTCAACACTGGGGGGAGGGAATGTATGGTAATGGAACTGTATGTACCCTCCTAGGCATGTCACCCAGTCCAAACCATAGAATTTCCAGCCGCATAAAACACACTAAAACCTACACACCATGGAGTATTGATCTAAAACAGGAAACAAGAACCTTTACTCAAAATGCACATTAATCCTTGATTTGCATAAGCGTATGCAAGACATGGAGTTCCTGTTTTGAGGAACGGTTTCAGGAGGATTGTTAATATCAAAGCAAGGAGTGGATGCCCAGCCAGATTTCTGGGAGGTACACCCTGAGCAACAGGGTGGGACACTGGGCAGAGCGCAGGCAAGGGTGAAAGTAACCTAATCCCTGAAAAAAGGGAGCAGGCTTAATTGAAACGGAGCTTCATTGCTTCATTGCACCTAGCTTCCAGCCTGGCCCTAATCAGGATGCTATTTACCCAGACCTTGTCTCCGCCATGTCTCTGTTGCCCTACCACACTCTCCCAAGGCAGCTTCTCCAACTCAAAGTATGGTGTGCTGACCGCATTATAATCAGTGGAATAATAACCAGATGCTGAGAACCAGAGCCAAGCGGTCCTTTTACAATCATTTCGCTTAGCGGGTGAATGAAAGCCACTTGCGGAATAGTGAGACCTTGCCGCTGCTGTTGCCACTGCCACCACCACCAGCAGCAGTGCCAGCGGTGCCGTTACCGTTACTGGCACAACCGCTGCTGTTACTGTGGCTTCTTGACTTATCTCGAGAGATATTTGATGATGCTGCTGCTGCTGCCGCTGCAACCATGCCTGACATGTCGACAGACTTTTTACGAAAATGCGATGATGGCTTTTCCTGTTTCTTCTGCTGCTGCTGTTGCTGTAGCTCCTCCTGGTGCGGATGTTGCTGCTGCTGTTGCTGCTCTTGTTGCCGCTTCAGAAGCTGCTGCTGCAAAAGCAGCGCTGCAGCGGCTGCATCTTCTCGTTCCTTGTCCTCTGCTAATGCCCAGAGGGATGCAGCTTGTTGAACCCTGCGACCAGGAAACGCCAGGAGAGTGGATGGGAAGGGAGGAGAGGAGAAGAGGAGGTGAGTTATAGTAAGGGATAGTAGAGGAGACAAGAGGAGGAAGGCTGAGAGGAGAGGAGAGGAATAGGAGGAAAGGGAGAGAAACAGAAGTGAAGAGGAGAGGAAAGGAACGGAGAGGAGAAAAAGGGCAAGAAATGGAGAGGAGAGGAGGTGAGAGGAGAGAGAGAAGAGATGAGAGGAGAGGAAAAAAGAGGAGAGGAGATGAGATGAGGATAGAAGAGGAGAGGAGAGGAGAGGAGAGGAAAGGAGAGGAGACAAGAGAAAGGAGAGGAGAGGATAGAAGAGTAGATGATAGGATAAGGTAGGAAAGGAGTTGAGAGGGGAGGAGAGGAGAGGAGAGGATAGGAGGAGAGGAGAGAAAAGGAGAGGGGCGGGGAGGAGAGACGAGGAGAGGAAGGAATGGGAGAGGAGAGGGGAGGACTGAGGATCAGGGAGGAGAGGATGAGAGGAGGTGAGAAGAGGGTAGAGGAGAGGCGGGGAAAGGAAACGAGCAGGGAGGGAAACAAAGGACGTGCATCATGCACGTAGAGGAGCAGAGAGGAGATAAGAGGCAGAGGCGAGCCCAGGCGAACTCTCTCATTGCCAAGACCCACGGCGCCTTTACGGTGGCCCCCGGGGCAGTGGACTGATTCCCTGCGCCGCTAGGCATAGCCATTTCACAGGTGACCTGGTCCACACTCTAGCGGCCCAGCAGAGGAAGTCACGAACTAGCAGCCGTGCTCAGTACTGCGATGTAATCTAGTTCTGTAATCCCGTTATTTTTTTTTGCCATATGAAGGGTCATTTGAGAGGAGATGGAAGAAGAGGAGAGGGGAGACGAAGAGACGAGAAGAGGTGAGAGGAGACAGGAGAGGAGCGAGGAGGAGAGAGTTGCAGGAGGTGAGAGGTGGGAGAAGCTAAGGAGGAGCGAAGAGGAGAGGAGAGGAGAGGAGTGGAGAGGAGTGGAGAGGAGTGGAGTGGAGAGGAGAGGAATGGAGGGGAGAGGAGTGGAGTGGAGAGGAGAGGAATCGAGGGAGCGGAGTGGAGAGGAGAGGAGTGGAGAGGAGAGGAATGGAGAGGAGAGGAGTGGAGAGGAGAGGAGTGGAGAGGAGAAGAATGGGGAGGAGAGGAGTGGAGAGGAGAGGAGTGGAGAGGAGAAGTATGGGGAGGAGAGGAGTGGAGAGGAGAGGAGTGGAGAGGAGAAGAATGGGGAGGAGAGGAGTGGAGAGGAGAGGAGTGGAGAGGAGAGGAGTGGAGAGGAGAAGAATGGGGAGGAGAGGAGTGGAGAGGAGAGGAGTGGAGAGGAGAGGAATGGGGAGGAGAGGAGTGGAGAGGAGAGGAGTGGAGAGGAGAGGAGTGGAGAGGAGAAGAATGGGGAGGAGAGGAGTGGAGACGAGAGGAGTGGAGAGGAGAGGATAAACAAATCCAGGGCGTGGAACTCGCCAAGACAGTAAAGGAGATGCCACCAGCTCAATCCCCACAGCAAGCCGCACATCCATCCCTACCCTTCCACACCCAATCACAGCACCTGCCCTCTCTGTCCCGGCCCAACCATACGTACTTTACAAGGAACATTACTCCCCCTTTTCCTTGTGTAGACTCCTTTTCCTCCATTCCTTTCCCGTCTCTCCCGTCCGTCACTTTCGCATCCGTATTAGCATCATCAGCTCGATCATCTTTCTCGTTCTGCTTGTTTCACTCCGTGTCCCCATCGACAACCCGGCTAACACTATACTACAGCTCACCTCTCCTTAACCGCTTCCAGATCGGAGTAATCCAACGAAGCGCGTCGTCCGCTCCCGGATATCGACTTGCGCGCCTCGGTCGCGTGTATAAAAAATTCCGCCTCCGCCTCCATCTGCTCCCGCGCCTGCTGCGCCTCTGCGCCGCCGCCTTCCAAAACGGAGATTACTCTCCGCCCGGCAGCTCCTCCCAAGGGCTCGCGGAAACTCCCGGCGGAAATGCCGCCGCGCGCGAGGTCCCCCGGCGGGTTTGCTCCTGCGGCGGCCTCTGTTGCCCAAACACAGCGACCGGTCCCCGTATCTCTTCCCTGCGGTAATGGGGAAGCGGCAAAGGCGCCGCCTCCGCCGGCGGTTGCGCCGATGCTAGTAGCGCCGTCATTCGAGGCGGGCCGGTCGTCTTCTCTTCCCCCCGTAACCACCACGACAGCCGCAGCAGCCGCGATCGCCACCGCCGCCGCCGCCGCGCCGCCACCTGGCCGTCGCGCAGCCTTAGGAGACGCGGCCGGTGCGGCCCAGGACTTGCGGCGGGAATCGCGCGAAGAACCAACGGCATCTAGGCTGTAGCTTGTAGCGGCGGCCTTCGCGGCCCGGGAGGAACTCTGGATCGGACTCGCTGCTGCGGCAGCGGTGCTTGCGGCGGGGACGCGGACCGAGGAGGAGGCGGAGACAGGGCCAGGCGCACAAGCCGCAGAAGCCCCATATGGTTTGCTTTGCGCGGAAGTGCCGCCGGCGCCGGCAGCGGCCGCGGCTGCTCTGGCGGCGAGATCGACGGACTGCTGCGATTGGATCTTAGAATCCGCGCCGTAGCGCGTGGAGGCGATGTAGGGTACGAGCCAGTCCTCTTCGTCCCCCGCCTGACGCGCGTTTCCGCCGAATGTGCCAGGCGGTCGCGGCACGCCCGCTGGAAGCGCCATCATCCGGCGCACTTGCAATTTTCAGCGGAAAAAATGCTGTTACTGCCAGCACTTTAAGTAGTATCTGGCGGAGCGCGGAGCTGCTGACAAAGCTTATTCGCCGTCGTCTCAAAAATTGTGGTCAGTGTTAGCGAGGTTCGCGAGAAAGAAACGGCCCGTAGTCGAAAAGTTCGACGGGAAGAAACAGACAGACGGACGGCCAGTGGGATCGGCTGGATGGTCAAAACGACCCAACGAATGTTTGTGAAAGTTGATGGTGTATCCGCGCCGGCTGCAAGGTGGCAATTCAACAAAGCGACCTGTTTTCCCGGAAAACAAACAACCTGTTTCCGAGTACTGCAGCGGGAATGAGAGGCAGCTGGAGGGCCAATTTGCTAATGCCAATAGCTGCGAAGCGATGGATTGAGGGGATAGACTTGTGATCCCACATGAGGAGGAAGAGATTACCCGTGGCAGGAGTCAGGGCAAGACGACTGGCAGCGCTTGCTCTGTCAGCTACGCCTTGCACGAAGGCGGAGACGTATCCGGAAGGACGTGTTAGATGGACGCCAGCTGGAACCGACGCTGCTATTGTTGTACGCTTGCGGCACGTTTAGCAACAGCCACACATAGACTTGGGCTATTGGTTGGTGGATGGTGGTTGTGTTGTTCTGTTGGCCTCGCCGCAAGATCTGTAGGTTGTGAATGTTGGGCTGGGGTATTTGTGATGCGGTTTCTCCTTCGCAAAATGAGGGCCTCACACTCGTGATAACTCTTGAAGTGTGAGGTGAGGAGGAGGAGAGAAGAGGAGGGATAGAGTGGGGTGGGGAGAGGGGGGGGAGGGAAATCGCATGGCTGTGCCGTCGCCTGGTCCCAAAGCGCCGACTCTGTAGTGGTGCGCCAAACCAACTGCGGTTATGGCGCATTCACTGTGGGATTGTCCCCAGCGATGGCGATGCTCTCATTATGTAACTGACACTACTCACCCATCTCTAGTGCTAAAAAGGGTGAATACCGGTCAGACAATTCTGCACTAAATAGCATAAAAATCCCACCTATCTGTTCTAACCCTCCTTCCGCCGGAAGTACAGTAGAGGCATTTCGATGTTTGCCCACAGCACCAAACCGTTTCTTCACCGTGTGTACAGTTCACTTTGCGTCGGATTGAATTCGCGGATCAGTCCAAATGGAGTGGGTAATACTGTACTGTATGGCTCTGCGAACTGACAGTACTGTACTCCTCCACCTTCCGTGGTGCTGTACTCTTAGTCACCGAACTTCTCGCACTCCAACGCTGTATTTCCCGCTTTAGAGCGTGTCCGAAGTTAAGCGTCGAATAGATGTCGGATGGATGTCGGTAAATGTCAACCCTCGGATCGAGAGTTCCAACCGTCAGGATTTACCGACATTGGATGTCGACTTCACTTCGGACCCGCCCTTATCTGTCACATGCCCCAGAAGCCAGGGGCAATGAATGATGCTCGCATGCTCGACGTCACATGGAAAGCGCCCGAACAGGATTGACGAGCTCGAAAGAATACCACAGAAGTGTATTGATCGAGTGTAGTACCAATTTGCGTAAAGTTAGAAAATAAGCCGACCGTCGAGCTGCCTACAAGCATCGACAATGACAGCCTCGAGCTCGCCGCCATGGCTGCCTACCGATTGCCTGGAACTCACATCGCGTGAAGCATGTTCGTCAGTTGGCTTTAATTTAACCAGCATTGGATTCGCTACACTCTTACGAAGAAGACTATATTATTCATGTGTTCATCAGGCGAACATTGATCGGCCTTCTCAAGGGTGTCTTTCACTGGTTGAAGCTTCTAAGCCCGATGCTAACGCGTGGCTCCCTATGTTCTGGTTCATTGTCAAGGAACAACCTAAGCTATCTACCATTGGCTACGCTGATGCTGTGCAACGGGATGATCCCGAAGTGCTATCTTCGGCTTTGCAACACCTTTGCCAAGAGCAATGGTCAACCACAGAAGGCTTTCTGCTATTTAACAATGAAGTGCTCAGACGACCGGCTCATCAGTTTATTCAGATCTCACTGCTCTTGTTCCAAGAGCTTCTGCCGGATTACTGTCATCATCGCACGATGCCTCCGAAGAACTCGCGTGCTAAGCCCGTGGTTGATGCTCCTGCTGGTGGGAGTGATCCTGCAGGCAAGACATCGCCAAGCAAGGGAAAGGAGATTGTTGATAATCTTCCGTCGGAAGCAGAGGTGACGGCTGGCAGCTCCGGACTTACTCTTGAAGAGAAGCTGAAGGCGCTGGCGACGGTGGTCTCGGGTGATTCCTTCATCGAAGATGATTCGGATGAGGAGCTCGACATTGACGCGACTAAGAGCTCTTACCCGCATCTGCGTTTCACGGCGATCCTGCTCTTCTCGGTTATCCCCTCTCGGGAGGTTGCTTTGGTCATTCTGACAGTGAAGACGCTGATGAAACGCGTTTGGTCTAACCTGCTTACTGATGATGTTCTTGCTTCGGTGAAGTTCCAGGAGCTGCTTCCTGCCTTCGTCGCCAAGACCCGCTACAGTCGGCTTCAGGTTTCATTCCTGCACGAATCGGACGCGGTGAACATCAAGCAGACTACGGTGGAGCATAAGCGTCAGAACGGCACGACGCTCCACTGTTTCTGGCTGCATCAAGAAGACGCGGCTTACCTTCGCAAGAAGGCTTTGAGCCCGCAGCTGCTGGAGGTTTTCTTCAAGAACGTACCTGCTGACATCCCGCTGGAGTTGGTTAAGGAGATCATGGTGGCTCACCCGCTCAAGATCCGGAAGCAGTCTGCCTTCGCCGAAGGCCATTGCTTCCACCGTGTCCTGCACCCGGTTACTGGAGCTGATACTGACAAGATTAAGGGTTTGGTGATTCCGCACGCTGGCGACAAGCACCGCTGGCGTCATGAGTTCCGTCACCAGCTGCTGGGAGGAACGACCCTGTTGGCTCACTTCCCGTTGCTATCCTGCGCGCTCTGTGGTGGACACCATTATGACAAGTTTCATAATGCTTTCATCATGGAGCGTCATAATAACATAGGGAAGTGGAGTTTAACTGTGGGACGGGTTCATAGGATCAATGGTAACTGCATCTTACCTTTTTCGGGTTGTCGCTTTGCTTTACCTGTCTTGACGGTTACTGACGCGCCGCTTGCCTCTCGCAGCTGCCTCTCTCCGCGCTTCCGCGCTCACCACCCCGCTGCTGCTAGACGCGGCTTTTGTGCTGATCTCCACGGGAAGCAACCGGGAGGGGTGGCTGTGTACTCTCGAATGTTGCGGGAAGGTCCATGGCAAGTCTTTCATGGTGGCGGCAGACCATATCACCTCGACCATATCCTGTTGGGGCTGGAGAAGCTGGGTACGGCCACTCGCGGTTCCCTGGAGAGGCTCGGTCTGCATGTCATCCGCAAGGAGTTCGGGATCTGAGATGGCTTATAGTTACCGGCCTGTGGTGGAGTAGAGCAGCTGCCGTAGACGATTGTCACGTGGTTGTTTTCGTTAGTTTCACCAGCCTGTGGATGCGGAGAGGCTTTCTAGCAGTGATTAAATGAGTAACAAGAGTCTCTTGTCAGTGGCGGGCCTGAATGTCAACGGCCTGGGAGATGGGAACAAGCAACAGCGCACGAAAACATGGTTAAAACAAGCTGCTGATGTCACAGTACTCGCAGACGCCAGACTCGCGGATGATCACCCATACTGGAAGTCGTTAACTCACCCGTCGGTTCTCGTTGCCTCCCCAACTGCAAAAGCCGGGGGAGTGGCCTTGGTTTGTCGCAGGCATGGGCTCTCACTGCATAAGACACTCATTCACCCGTCAGGAAGACTCATTAGGACAGACATCCATCTGGACACCTTCCACGTCACCCTACTGGCAGTATACTTCCCGGCGGACGTGACGGACAGGAAACACTTCATCAGCAGGGTGCTGGGGCCGGTGGTTGATGCGGTGCACCCCGGCGCTCACCTGCTTATAGTGGGGGATTTCAACCTAGTGGAGGACCCGCTACTGGACAGGACGTCAAAGAAAGGGACAACGAAGGAGAATGATGTTCTGTACCAGCGGTGCAGTGTGTTCAACGTGTCGGATGCTTTCAGAGTGCTGCACCCCTACAGGAGGGAGTTTACCTTTTACTCGTGTGCTAATCAGTCCAGCTCACGAATCGATCGGGTGCTTGTCTCACAGTCGCTGCTGTCGCACGTGGAGTTTGCCTCGCATATCATGCCGGCGGATCCCATCTCGGATCACAGCTTCGCGGTGAAGGCGGCTTTCCGGATGAATACGAAGGTGCAGATGGGACCAGGCCTCTGGAGGCTCCCTGCATATTTGATCGGGAGACCAGGGGTCAGAAAGGTCATCGAGGCGGTAGAGAAGCAAGTGGCAGCAAATGGCGATGATTTCGAGTTGTTGCTGTCCAGGTTAAACGCCGGGCTCAGAGTGTACGCGACGGAGGAGAGGAAGCGCATCAGGGCCACGATGGCTCACCTTCAGCGCACGGTCGCTGACTTGAAGCAGGCCTGGCTGGGTGACCCGAGCTGTGCTCGGCTGAAGGAGTTGCTGGACGAGAGGGAGGCGCAGCTGAAAAGTTCTCGGTTGGCACGGCAAGAGAGGCTGCATGTGATGGCCGGAATGAACGAGTTGGTCATGGGGGAGGAGGCTTCCCCGCACCTGTCTGCGAAAATAAGATCCAGGAAGGAGAAGACACAGATCAAGAAGTTAAGCGCCGGGGGGGTTCTGGTCATTGGAAACAAGGAGATCCTGGGCGTGGCTTCTCAATTCTACAGAGACCTCTTCGGGACGGACAGACAGAAGGCCTTGACAGACTGGCAGCCGTTTGATGGAAGGGTCTTGTCGCCGACGGCACGAGAGAGGGTGGCGGCGGATTGGTCGGAAAAGGAGGTGCAGCAGGCCTTCCGCTCGATGGCGAAAAACAAGGCTTCGGGCAGGGACGGGTTGCCTAAAGAACTGTTCGAGACGCACTGGGACGTCCTGGGCAAACATTTCATGGGGCTGGTAGAAAGCTTCACCGCGTCCTCGTCGATTCCTGCAAGCACGAAGGACGCGGTCACCATTTTGTTACACAAGAAGGGCGGCCGAGTTCAAGTTGAGAATTACAGGCCGATTACTCTTCTGAGCTTCACCTACAAGGTGCTGGCGAGGGTGTGCGGAGAGTCACTACACAACGGGAGTGGACTACGGTGGAGGGCACAGAGTTGTGCGGGTGATCGTAGCGTTGTTCTAACGTTCTTACTGCTTGCTTGTGTTCACAGAGAAAGTTTGCAAGAGTTTCCACTAAGGAAGTTGAAAAGAACAACTTGGAATGAAAAGTTGGTAGTACAATTGAGGCATGCAGAACAAAAGGAACTAGAAGGGCATTCAACTCCTAGCAAGGGCGAAATCTGCCAGCGCAGCAGAAGAGCGGCTTGCCAACGTTGCAGCAGAGTGTTCTGCCAACGTTGCACTGCACGCGGTCTGCCAGCGTTGCAATCGCAGGTGACTATCTGCAATCGCAGGTAAACAGCTGCAGTCGCAGGTTGTCTATCTGCACACCTCCGCAGAGTTTCGCAGAACTCTGCAACTTCGGTCGAAGGACTCGCCATCGCTCGGTCGAACAGAGTTCGACGAGCAGAGCTCCTCGACCAGAACTCTTCGATCAGAGTTCCTCAACGCGAACTCCTCGACCAGAGTTCCTCGACTTGAACTCCTCGACCAGAGTTCCTCGACGGAAGTTCGTCGCGCAGAGATCGTCGACCAGAGCTCATCGCGCAGAGCTCGTCGACCAGATACCGTCGAGCAGAGTTTGCTCGACTGCAACTTCCGTCAAACTGCAGAAGACTACTTCTTCTACCAATCCGTCGAGAACTTCCCGTCGACGGCGAGATCGGCTGCGCCCAAGCGAGGGCGGGGCCTTTCTCTTCGACAGGGTGGTCGCGGATAGGATGAAGCGGTTTCTGCATGAGGTGATCTCGCCCGAGCAGTACGGTTTTTTGCCAGGGCGGAGGTTGTCTGATGCGGTGGGGCTGGTCGCGGACGTGATTGATGCTGCCAAAAACAAGGAGAAGGACTGGTACCTCCTGCTTGTGGACTTCAGGAAGGCGTTTGACCCGGTCTCGAGGAACTATCTGTTCACAGTGCTGGAAAGGATGGGCTTCCCCAGCAGGTTTGTCGGCTGGATTAGAGGCCTGCACGAGGGAACACAGACGAGGCTGTTAGTTAACGGCTGGCTCGGTGAAGCTGAGGAGGTGGTGTCGGGGGTTCGACAGGGCTGCCCCCTAGCGCCCTACGTGTTCCTGTGTGCCGTGGAACCGCTGGCGCAGGCGGCGGCAACCCGGAAGCTGGGTCTTACCGGGGGGAGTCAGCGGCTGGCCTACCTGGGATATGCTGATGACCCGACGCTCCTGCTGCAGGGGAAAGATCAGATTGCGGAAGCAGAACAGCTGTTAGACGATTTTGAAAAGGACTCGGGCCTGGCTACGAATAAGGACAAGTCGGCAGTGCTGCCGCTGGGGAGGAACCTGGGCAAGCAGGCTAGCAGAACGGATGGCTTTAAGTGGGTAAAGGCGGACGAAGCGGAGCGGCTGTTGGGAGTCTGGGTGACACCGTCCGGCAGCTGCGCTCCCACATGGGAGAAAGCCTTCGCAAGGATAAAGGAGAAGCTGAGGCAGTGGGAGACACAGCATCTCACGACCGGCACGAGAGCGGCGGTGATAAACTGCTACATCTCGCCGATTATCTTCTTTCAGGCGCAGGTGTATCCGCCGCCGGTGGATGTATGGGGGAGGATCCTGAAAATCACACACAATTTCATGTCAGGGAATCGCGCGTCGACAGACAAGGGTTTCATCCTATGGAGCAGAGAACTGCTATACATGGCGAGGGAAGACGGTGGTGTGGGGGTCAAGGATCCGGAGATCACCCTCACCTGTCTCACGGCGAGGCGTATCGGCCTGCTCCTCACGGAGACGAACGAGCTGAAGCGGGAAATCATGCTCGAAGCGGCTGACCTGCCGCTGGGCCTGGACACTTTCGTCTCTCATGTCAAACTTCTGAAGAGCTGGAGCAGCAAGAGCGAGAGATGGAAATCAGCCTGTGGGGACTTTATGCAATCACCGCTGGCAGTTACGACATTGGAACTGTCGCGGGAAGAGATAGAGAGGGAGCGGCTGGTGTTCAACCGCAAGATTCTGCTGAACGGCACGACTCCGGTGGGAGGGCAGAAGGCAGCGGCGAAGCTCTGGGATGTGCGGCTGGGGGATTTACTATGTCCGGACGGCACGGGGGGCCGGCGCGCCAAGGACGTGAAGTCTCTAGCGAGGGAGCTAGGTGGCTCTAAGCAGGCGAAGTTAGCTCTAAGGGCGTGGGAGGCTGTGCCGCAGAGTTGGAAATCAGCGCTCCTGTCTGCTGAGCACGCTGTGTCCCCCCGTCCGCCGTTGCGCACCCCGCTCCAGAGGACACCTAGCAACGGCAGAAGCATCAGTCCGCCAAACGCGAGCTGTGGGCGGACAGATGGGCAGGGTTGATCGACTGGAAAAATGTCATCAGGATTCGGGACTCCCTGGTGACACCGAATAGACCGCGTGACGTGCTCCTAAGGATTCACAGCCTCAATCTGCAGGTGGGAGAGCGGCTCTCCTTCCTAAGTGGCAAGCTGGTTTGCCCCCACTGTGGGGAGTTTGAGTCCATCAAGCACTGCCTTTTCACCTGCCCGAGGATTCAACTGGTGGTGGGAGCGGTCAAACGAGCCATGCGCATGCTCAACCCGGGGAGGCAGGTGGCTGATTTGGGGGATCTGCTGTTCGGAAAGGCAGCATCCACCTCAGCTTTCCCGGAGGCATCGCTGGCTGCTATTGCGGTGCACCAAATTTGGGCGGAACGATGTGACTGCGTGTTTCGGGAGCGGAGGTTCAGGGCTCGGCGCGTTCTCAGGCGCATTGAGGCGGCATTTCGGCTGCATGTGAAGGTGTACACCCGCGCTATGGGGAGGAAGCTGGGGAAGGCGAGTGGTTCGAAAAGACAAGGGAGTGCCTATGCGCTGGCAGAACGGGAGGACCAACTCCTTGGACGTGTCAGGTGCACGGCGGTGAAAGGTTGGAAGTGGACAAGGAATTTTGGCGCGCTTTGAAGTCTTGCGAGAGGGGCTCTGCATCCGCCTTAGAAGGCTTCTCCTGAGGTTGTTCCTTCTTGAAGGAATAGCCTTTCACGCTCAGTTACGACTGGCATATGTTTACGTACACTTGTATCATCGGTGTTAGTGGACATATTCAACAAAAAAAAAAAACCAATTTGCGTAAAAAGTAGAGTGAGTGTATTTATCGGTGCCCAGGAAACAACGATCGTATGTTGGAAAATATGAGAACACGTTATGAAACTGAATGATCTAGTGGGGTAATTTGCCAAGCGAATGACAAAAAAAGTGACCACACCACAT